CCAGGGAATTGAACCCTGGACTTCATGCAAGCGGAGGCAGATTGTTATCTGTGAATCCATGCTAAGCAAGCACTCTACCACTGAGTTAGAAGCCCTGTTATATGACGTGACTAAATATTAGAATCATGTCCCGGTTGTATATACAACCGTTCACCAATGCTGTTGCCCCGTCTTCTAATCATGCAATACAAACTCAGCTCGCGGGAGGCCAGCTTGTGAGCTTCATTGGCGACTGGTTGCGTCGGTGGTCTCTTAGCTGCTCCTGTTTTTGCCCGCCGAAAGCGCTCGCGCGACCCTGAAAAGATTCACGGCGTCGTGTGTCCACAACGACTCAGGGATGACGGTTGTCGTTTCCGGCTCGAAAGGATTTACGCAAATGGCAAACCCCGAAAATACTGCCATGGAATAGTGTGGAAAATCAAAAAGTTCAAAAAATAGTAGTGCTGATACACGCGGTACGGGCAATAAAAAATGGACCTCCAGGGAATTGAACCCTGGACTTCATGCAAATCCACGCCCACTAGAGAATCAAAGAGCTGGTGCTAAGCAAGCACTCTACCACTGAGTTAGAGGCCCGTTGCTTGACCCTCAAATTTACTATGCTCTCATGAAGCGTCCGTGAAGGATTCCACCATTCTTATATGTTCAATTGCATTCCAGACCATTATCCGTCATCACCATCACCATCCTTCGCTACAAATCTCTTCCATTATCATCAACTCTTCAACCATGATCGCCATTACTTTTCATATACTGCAGTTATTTCCATCAGGAGGATTTCCCGTCTAAATTTTCACAAGCCTCCTTCGCAACATCTACAAGTTCGCACACTCAAAGGAGCTTCGAACCTTCCGAGTGGAGTCGCTGGTGGTAGGGCTTCGGCCAGTCTCATCATTCATTACACGTATTTAGCACGCTAGAATCTCTCATCCTGTCATTGAGGATATAAAAACTCTCCTCGGGTCCTCCATCTTGCGTCATCACCATTTACGTTTCCCTCATTACGTTCTGCTCATCAGCGGTCTTCGCCCGCAGACCCTGCCCCCGTCTCCTCCCCCGTGAGTCCTGCGCTAGTAAACCTTTCGATCGTGCATCGCGTTCTCTCTCATTGCTGTCCTCTCCTCTCTTTCAGACACTTCACTGTCACCATTTCTCAACCAATCCCGCCACCGCTGGGTTCATTGCAGGCAGTATGGTTGGTGTTTGGTGAGTAAGGCTCCGGAAATTCCCACGATCCACGACTTGGATATCAATACTCCAGGTCACCAACCAGTAATTAAGACTTCTATTGAATGAAAAGATCAATCGTATGACAAGCTCAAGCTAGTATGCTGGCCCGATCCGATGAGCCAAGCGAGAGCCGAGGTGGCAACATCTCCAAGGCCGTCTGCACTTCGTCTTAGGCTGTTCTTTGAGCTGGTGAATTGCCCATGCTGTCGCTAGTGTCAAAGTAGACTCGCATCAAGCTCTTTAAGAGAGCCAAGTGCGACGGCGCTCTCAATACCGAGGTCAAAGTTGTATGTCTGCCCTCTCCGTCTGCCACGAACTGCAGGTGCCACATATCCAGCGTCGTTCTTCTTCGCTGTGTTAGTGAGACTTCCATCTGTTCCCCAGTCATCCTCGCTCAGCTTGTCTTCTGCTGCTGAACGCGAGGTCTTGAGTAAGGACGCCGGGGCTCCGCTCTGCTGCCCAGCCTTGGCTGCCGCTAATGACGAGACTGCATACACGGGAAACGACGGGGCTTCGAGCATGACGCTGATGCCGACGGTTCTGATGCGTTCCCTCATCATCCTCATTTGACTCATCGCTACCTGACCTGTGTTGGTGAGGACAAAGTCGTCAAAGGGGACAAGCACCGTCTGCCAGGCGTCACCCATGCGTTCATCGAGATACAGGCGATGTTGAAAGAGGTCGGATGTGACGGGGCCATCGGTCTGGATGTTGATGAAGAACTTTGGCCCTGGAGGCTCTTTGAGCCCTATTCCCAGTGCGTGTATGGCACGTGCCTCGACGGGCGGCCGACCGATCGAGGAGGCGTGCAGCGCTTGTCGCAGCGATGGGTTGCTCAGTGTCGGCGAAGGGCCAGCAGCACTGCTGCTGCTCTCGTATTTTGCTTCCGCAAGGAAGTCCTCTGGCAGGTTTCCCGCAGACAATTCTGACGCAGCGGTGACGGACTGGGCGAATCGATTGCGCACGCGCAGCGCGAGCAGCGAATGTACCGTCGTATCCCACGTCTGTGCGCCAAAGAGCGTCGGGCGGTTCTTGTTCCGGAAGGCGGCATAACCGCTTCTCTCAATCCGACTGCCGCGCGGTAGGTCGCTTGTCACTGTACCGTAGAAGCGTCCCTTTCCCTCTTTCTCATCGAAGGAGAGCAGGCAGGTGGACAGCCCGCCAATATCCTTGTCTGCGCCAGTGGCAAAGCTGGAGAGGTCTGCACGCGAGCGCAGCGCCCACAGGGACAACAGGCCCTCTGTGCGCGATGATGGCGCAACCTCCATCCTAATAGCTGCGCGGGGAGGTGCATCAGCACGTCTTCTTTGGAGGGGGAGTGCTATTAACAGTGATTCACCTTTGGCTGTCTCCTCTTTTATACCATCCAGCGAGCGCTGGAGCGCCTTACCAAATGTGCGAGCAATTCCCGACATCTTGCCTCACGGTCGCGGCAGCTCCGTATTGTACCCTTGCTAGCTGGTTCGCAGCAAGACCTTGCGTTGTTTTGCGATTAGAGTGTCGGTGTCAGTGCGGCTCGCGAACTCAAGCATGCTCAATCTGGACCACCTTCCCAGCGGCCAGCAAACCTCATCGAGAGATGTGGGACATGATGCGATGCTGCCAAGATCACACTGGGCCTAGGGGCGGAACGGCGCCGAGCGAGAACAGTCAGGGATGAGGGAGAAGTTAGAGGGAGGAACGATTTCGATTTCTCTCCAGCCTTTTGTCGTTTTCTTCCCAACTCACCACAACACTGTACATACCTGAGTACAACGCAGGAAGGAAAGCAAAGCAGGCACCATTGAGAAGATGCAGGTAATCTCCAGAAGCGCCCTAGCAGCCGCTGCCGTGCCCCGTGGTGCGCTGCCGCGACCGGCGTACTTTTCGGCCCTGCACAATTCGGCGCTCCGCAGGCAATGGCGGCAGCAGCGCATGCTGGCCGCTTGCAGCGCCGCCGCCAGCCTGCATACCGCGCGAGCATCACCCAGCACCGCCCATCAGAAGCGTCCGTCAACGGCCATTCCCAATGTCACATCGCAACGATGGTTCTCCTCTAGCCAGCAAGCGTTCGATGCGCCTCGCTCGCCCTTTACCGTCTTTGTTGAGACGCTCAAGGAAGAGCTGCGCAAGTCAAGAGAGCTGCAGGAGAACGTCAAGCAGCTGCAGGGCGATGTGGGCAAGATACAAGACAGCGAGGCTATGAAGAGCGCTAAGGCTGCATACGAGAGGATGCGCATCGTTGCCAGCATCAAGGAGAACCCCCGATTGCAGGCCGCCGCCGAACAGCTTCGCAAGAACGGTGGGCAGGTGTCGGCCGCTGTAGGCGAGACACTCAAGCAGATGGAGGACAGCGAATTGATCAAAGGGGTGAGCTTTCGATTGGTACAAGCATACATGAAGCATGCCTCGCTGAAAGTCTGTACTCTCTGCCACAGCTCTCTGCCGTATCTTCGCGTCTAGCGCGGCAGCTAGAAGACTCGACTGCGCCCATCCGCAACACGGAGGCGTACAAGGCTTTCTCTCAGACCATTACCGAGGCATTCGATGATGGCGGCTCGGCGCTGCGTATTTACGCTGACGAACAGGAAGATGCCAAGATGGTCCGTAAGCTCAAGCGCGAGACGCGACTACGCAAGATTGGTCGAAGCCCGCCGCTGAACGACGTAGAAGAAGCGACCTTCCAAGTGGACGAGGAGTTTCTAGGTAAGGCCAAGGCGATGGGCGTAGATACCCCCGAGGAGGCAATCAAGATGGCGCAAGCTGCTTCCTCCGGCGCGGCTGCCAGTGACGGCGGCGATGAGGCTCGCAAGGAACGGGAGCCTGAAAGCGAGAATGCTGAGGCAGGGCCATCAACTGCGTCGCCACCGGAACCACGCAAGAGGCTAGCAGGCTACGCGGTACGCTATCGCTCCACAGCCGAGAACCCCAACGCCGGCGAGGCACTGGTCCTTCGTCCCGAGCCGGCGTATAAGCAGGCGTGGTCCAACTTTTCCGAAAACAACACCGTGCTGCGCCGTCTATCGGACCTACGACAGACGTACGACGAGTCGGAGAATCCGTTTATCGAGCGCTTGCGCGGTATCACCGAGACAATCGGTAGCTGGTTCGAGGAGAACGAGACAGCGCAAGTCGTACGGCAACTGCGCATGATGGAGCCGGACTTCACGCTCGAACGCTTCCAGCGTGAGCTGCGTGAATACGTTGTGCCTGAATTCATCGACGCATACCACGGCGCGCAGAAGCACATCCTCCGGCAGTGGTGCGGAGAGGCGACATACAACGTCCTCATGGCCACCGTTGAGCCTTTCTTGCAAAAGGGATACATCGCCGAGGGTCGCCTGCTTGATCTCAAAGGGATAGAGATTGTCCAGGGCAAGATGCTCGAAAACAACATCCCCGTCCTCGTCGTCAGCTTTTCGAGCCAAGAGCTCATGTTCTTCACCGATCCTAAGACTGGAGAGATCAAGGCGGGCAAGAGCGACCAGACCGATCTGTGCAGGTACGCCATGGTCTTAACGAGGGTCGAGGAGGAGCTGGACAATGAGATTACCGGTGGTTGGAAAGTAGTAGAGGTGCGTTACGCATACGGCGCGTACACAGCGTTCTCGACCCGCTGATCTGTTTCTTACCTTGCTCTTCCTTTAGCTCGCACGGCGAGGACAGGCGTCCTTCTTGTAGTCCACCCTGTCGACAACACAATCACACCCCTCTGCACCTCACCTTGGCTTCGCTTTGCAGGAACGTAACCCCTCATTTTTCTCTGACATCTTTCTTCCTTAGCTTCGGCACGGCCAGCATCCCCACCCTTTTCGCGACTTGATGATGAAACCATTACTCATTTGCACGTCAGTCGTACGCCTTTGCAGGCTATGCCGAGCATCGTAAATCGCTTTTCATCTTTCAACTGATTCAAGTTGCGAAAAGGGTAGGGCTTAGGCATCCAAGAAGCATGCGAATGCTCGCTGCGCATATCTCGAAGGTGAGTTTACGGATGCTTCGGTCTTACAGCTCTATCCCGCATGTCGCCCTCTCTAGCATTCAAGCATTTGATTTGCAAGTAATACAAGCAGCAGTTGGCTCCGCTTAGGTGACGCGCTGGCGCCAATGAAGTACCTGTCCCGACTCGCCTGTGACTAGCGCGACCTGCCCGTCTATAACGTCTATAGACGGGTCTACAGCCGGCAAGGCTTTTTGGGCTTGGGGCGGCTTCCAATTCTGTCATCAGTGCAACAGTGAAGACGTCAGCCTGCCCTGAACGCTGCAAGGTGCCCGCTATGACAGCAATGCTCACCATGCGTCGTCCTTCCTCGTACAAGTCCTCCATAACGTCGTCCAATCGATTATCCCTCTTGAAATTCTCGTAGAGCTCGTACAGCTGCAGAGCGGCGCTCGCATCCTCGATCGAGTCGTGCCCTTCTTCGCTGGTGCCAGACTGAATGTCGCGCTTGAGTAGGAACCAGCTAAGGAACTTGAGCGAGAGCTTGCGCGGATGGCTTGCGGAGTGGAACAGGTCGACTGTATCTACGACCTGCGATGCGGGGACGTGAATGTTGATGATCCGAAAGTCCTTGCTGAGGCCGTGCCCGATGAAAACGCAGCCAAGGTCGACGAGGAGGCGCAGCTTTTTGTAGGCCGTCTTGAGCGGGACTAGAGTGTGGCGCGACGTCTCTGGATCGAGATCGCCATGGACAATGCCGGAGAACTGCGTGAGATAATCGACCACTTGCTCTCGCGTGTAGATGTGGTCATCAATGAACGGCACGTCCGCTTTTTCCCCTTGCCCGCGGACGACAGACACGCGAGCCAGGCTCGATCGCGTCGGTCGGATCAGTGAGCGCGTGCCGTCCGATCGCACCTCGGTCTCCTCTTGGCTGAGAGCGACGAACTCCGAGTCAATCGCAATCATCGTGCCTGCGCTCAGCGTCTCGGTCGCCGACAAGACTTTGTGGCGGGAACGCGCTGGGTCTCGGTGCTTGGAAATGTTGATGTCTTGGCAGAGGATGGAGGGAGGAATGCGGAGAGGGAGGGAGCTCAAATCGAGCGCAGTGGCTGCGTCGGCGCGTTCAAAAAAGAGCACAGCCGGCACTTTCCATGGGCCGTTGAAGGATCGCGCCTCCATGTCACTGATATTGCGCACAAGAAAATCGTTGAACAAATACCATGGCCCCTTGCCCTCAGCCTGTTCACGCTCCGAGTCAGGAACTCTTTCGAGTGCGACCAAGTGCGGCGCATCCTTGTCGTCCTGTATTTGGACGATTAGGCTGCGCAAAACGTAGCGGATGCTCCCCGCGGCGGCAGCTTCCGACTCATCCCAGATGCCGCGCACGGTGAGGTCGTCTCCGTGCAGGCCAAACTCGACTTGAGCAGGCAGGTACGGCCGCTGTTCGCCGCCTTTTCGACGCGAAGGCGAGAGCCAATGCTGCAGCTGGTCTTCGGTGTGGACAGCAGCGTTGATGCTGAGCACTACGGGCAACTTGCTCTCGTCGAGAAAGACACGGCGGCTCTTGAGGATGACGTTCGTGGCTTTACACGAGCGGCACATAGTCTTTGACGTTGTCGGCCGCGTCAGTGACTCCTTGAGAACAGATGCGAAATCGCTCGGCAGGGCCGTCTCATTGGAGAGGGCCTGAAAAACAGAGCTGAGGTTAGCGGCAAGCAGAACACTCACGTTTTTGCGGGCTACTGACCTTGCGTGGGTAGATGAGGTCGACGACGTGCGACTTACTCTCGCGCTCGGAAGCGACGCCGCAAGAACCACAGGACGTCTTGGTGACGGCGTCGATACCGATGGCGCGTCTGACAAGATTCTGCCTGCCATCGCTCGTGCTTCCCCACACTGCTTCCGAGACGAAGCTATCGAGCACGAAGCGGTTCAGGCTCTGGACGAGGTTCGCGTACGCCTGGTCGGAGCCGGGCGACTCATCCTTGTCCAAGAGGCCGAGCGAGGCACTCCGGGGGATATTGCCGAAGGCACGCAGGAAGTTGGTCGCTTGGCAGTTGGCCCCCTTGGCATCCGTCAGCATCCTAAAGAGGAAGCCGGCCTCGCAAAGCAGGCAGTGCTCGCGCTCGCACTCTTGCGTGATGTGCGACTGGGCGAGCGTCCGCAGTGGGGCGAGGTAGTGTAATGCCTGCAGGTAAGCGTTAGCGTAAGAGTTTTGGATGTGCGTCTCGAGACCCGAGAAGGGCGTCTTGTTGTAGAATCCAAAGTCAAAGTCCTCGATCCCGAACTTGCTGTACTGGATCGTCTGCAAGCGGTAGTACGACGGCATTGAACTCACGCCCTCGCCCGTCAATGTCGTTGCGGACGGGCTTGACGGAGCATCTGCTCCTGCGGTAACAGCGGGAGAGTCCACGATGCCGGCAGCGGCGCGACGCGCCGCCTCTCGCTCCTGCTCGGAACGGAAGAGCGGGGCGCCGATGCGGCGCCGGTCCTTGCCACGCGCGGGGGTCTTGACGAGGTTGCGCTGGCCGCGCAGCTGCTTGGGCAGCGGCGCATATCCAAGTCCATCAACGACGCGCATCGTCGCGAGCACGGCGCTGTCCAGCTTGGGCGTAGGGCGGAGGAGGGCGGACGAGTCGAGACCGTAATTGTCGTAGTTGAGGTACGACAGCAGGGGCTCCTTGTAGTACGGCAGGCCGATGCTCGAAAGCGGCATTGCGGGCGTCCAGTTGACCGGCTCGGCGGCCTCAGGCGCGTCGGCGGCCTCAGGCGGGTCCGAGTCGTACATGTTGAAACGCAGCGGCGATGGATCCGGGCTGCTGGACCACAGCCGCACCGAGCCGTCGCCCTCGCCAAAGGCCAAAAAGTCGCCTGAAGGTGACATGTCCATGCACGTTGCGTAGGATCGTGTATTCATCTGCGTGATAAGCGGGGCGGTGTGAGAGAATTGGGGTCTCAGACGCGTTCGCGCAACTCACCTGGTAGAACATGCCCTCCCCTGGGTTGCCCGTGTCGACGATCTGGAACTGGCCTTGCGGTGCAGCGACGATGACGGTGGATGCGAGCTTGGGATGTACTGTCAACATTGCCGGGCCGCCTGACGCCGCGAACGGGATCGGGACGAGCGCGCGCATCGTTCGCAGATCGTGCACCTTGACCAGCGGCTCTGCGACGGGGTGTCCTAGGCTGCAAGCCAGCAAGCGAGCAGAGAGAGGGAGAGTCCAGCATGAGCATGGCCGCGGCGTGAAGTCATGGACGAAGCGCAAGCTTACCGGACTGTCCAACCAATGCTGTAGATGAGGTTGCCCTCGGCAGCGATGTCGATGAGCCCACCGGGGTGGGCGTGTAGTCTGTGCTCAATGGCGAGTGAGCGCGGATCGCGGAGCTGGATGTGGCCGCCACTAGTGCCAGCGCAGACCAGGCGGGACGACTTGCGGAGGTGCAGAATGGGCGCGTCGGACGCGACAGTGCGCACGACGCTCCCCGAGTTCTTGTTTACGACGAGCAGCACGTCGTCCGGGCCCGGGGTGCCGGTGTGGGAGAGCTGCTGCGACAGTCCACCGGCGATCAGGTCCGAGGAGGCGGCGAGCGGCGAGGCGGTCATCCCCGATAGCGTCAGCGTCGGCGCATGGGACCTATCCGCAGATTGCAGGAGCAAGGGCAGTCCAGTGATTAGCAATCGTCGCTGCGCGCCATGGAGGGAGGAGCTGCTCACTTTGCCGGCGCACTCCATCTCGTCAAGCCCCTGCGCGACGCGGCGTGCAGGCCCGACTCTCCGGTGCTGTACACGAGGCGCTCGTCGAGGAGAAGCGCCTTGAGCGGCGAGGGCGTGGCCAGAGTGCCGTGCGCGGCAAAGCTGGTATAACGTTGCAGGTCAGCGCTGTAGTGCGCGGAGAGCTGGCCGCTGGCGCTGCCAACCCAGAGCAGCTCCGAGTAGCGGTCGAATGCCAGCGCCGTCACACTGCCGAGCACGCCTGGCGGGCTGTTGTTCGCCAGTACGTGGTTGCACTCGGCCCAGTCCGTCATGTTGGCGACGGTGTGCGCACTAGTACGGGCATCAGTCTGGGCCGGATGAGACCCGGATGGGATGGGGAGGTGGGGCTGGCCACAACGGGGTCGGGTGCTGCAAGCATGCACACTGCGGGATGAGCGTGCGTGTGTCTGCCGTCGTCAGAGTGAGAGTGAGCCGGCCGATGTGCAAGCTCCTCCTCATCGTGGCCAGCGCCTCTCTTGGGAAGGTCTCACGATCTCACCCCCATCCAGCTCGCGTGTCCATATCGACAACGAGATGCGGATAAAACCAGGATAGTAGGGTTGGGCGCGAAATAAAGTAGGGTTGTGCCCGATCACCTCTCTGGGACAAAGACGGCGCGCGCGTGCTCATTGGAGTTCAAACGTGGGGGACACTGACGCAGTGCCGCAGATCAGGCAGACACACACACCACACACCAAAACGTTTAATTGGACCTCTTCTTATTTATTCTATGGGGCTTGGATGGTGGTCCCTCTGTACGCCATTCTCCTCCCGCTCACCATCCCCCGCAAGCACGACAAGCTGGACGGATGGATGGATGGATGGACGGACTGGTGCAGAGAACCGACCGTGGACAGGCCTGCCCGCAGTTCGAAATTTGAATCATGTCGTGGCGATAGGACCACCGTCGCCTGCCCCCTCCCCTCCTTCCTATTCGACTCCTCATTCACCCACAGAGCCTGGACATCCCGCGTCGATCCTCACGTATATTGATCGCCGCTGCTGCCCATGCGTGACAAGCAAGAGCATCCCCCCATGAGAGCACTATCCCGTGTGTAGACAAGGCGGCGCCTCCTGTGTTTGGGCAACACAAGACGCAAGTATCTACCGCCACGCCACTCCACTACCTCAGACACCATGACGAACACTGGTACCGGTAGCAACAGCAGCAGAGGCAGACATGCTCGCGCGCTCCTCGAGGCGCTCTTCCAGCAGCAGCAGCAGCACGGCTGGGTGCTCCAACCCCCGCCCGTGTCGCCATCCTCGCCGCGTAGGGCCAGCACCAAACCCAATCATGCAGCGACGGCGGTGATGGTCCAGGCGTTCAAGCCGACCAAGCCAAGCAGCCTCGCTGCCAGCGCTAGCAGCCGGAGCAGCGACGAGGATGACGAACCCGAGGGCGAAGGTCACAGAGAGCAGGGGCCTAGTGAATCACTTTCGGGGGAAGAGCTAGAAATGGCGGGACAAGGCACACCCAAAGGAAAGGAAAGCACAGGGTATCAGGGTGCTAATGGCTGCGGCGGAACTGCATCCAGCAGCAGATGCGATCAAGGGGCTGAAGAGGAAGCGGCCACTGTCGCGCGGCCGGAGGATCCGATAGCCGACGTGCTCGACTCACTACAAGGCGGGCGGCTGGACGAAGAAGACACGATCGACAAGCTCCGGGATAAACTTGACAGGCATGTTGCCGCCGCCGTGCAGAGGACTGGTAATGGGCTTGTTTTGGGGCTTGTGAGTCTGACAATTCATTCGTCGGAACACATCAGCGAGGGGCACACTGGCAGGCACGCTGATGCAATCTGTCCCTTGTCGATACGCAGACTTCGTCGCAATTGGACTCGCTCGTGCTGGACCTCCTGCATCGGCACAGGGAGGACGAGAACCCTTCCGGCTGTGCCTTCCCCGCGCCGCCAACTCTCGCCTCGCTCATCAGTCAGCCGGGCTGCAGTAGTAGTAGCAGCAATAACGGCAGCGGCAACGGTGGTGGCGGAGGTCATCGTCCGCCCTCGCTGCGCTCCAGCGCCAACACTACGGCTAGTCTCGCGCGGCCATGGATGTCGACACGCCTCAGCTCCTTCCAGGGCCAGCAGCAGCAGCCCTCCTCGGCCAGCAGCTCCACTGGCGCGTTCCCCCCCCTCGGATCCGTGGGTTTGGGAGGGGAGGCAGGCCTCAGCCCTGGCGCAATAGGGAGCCTTCCCGGCTCTCCTGGCTCCAGTCGTCCCGGTACACCAACAGGTGCCAAGAATAGCATGAGCGCAAGCATGGGAATGGGCACGGGCGGTCTTGTTGGCGGTGTCGCAGCCAGCATCGCAGCCGACTCTGATCCGATCATACACCCTTCGAGCCGTTCTAGCAGCATCGCCAGCTTCTCGTACTTGCACAACAGCAACAGCAGCAGCATCACCACGGGCGGCTCGCCGAGGCCTTGGGCACGGCCTCTGTCCGGTGCCAGCACGAACATGAACGGCGGTGCGTCGTCGTCCAACTTGCACAGCGGCTCGCCGTCCTCGTTCAACTCATCTATCGGCGGTATCGGCTTTGCCGGCGGGCTGTATGCTACCGCCATTGGCGCGAGCGCAGGCGCAGGATCAGGTTTCGGAGCGCAGTATGGCAGCAACAGCAGCAACAGTCTCTCCGTCGCCACGCCCCCGCGCCCCACCTCACCTTTACTCTCGTCCTCGACCAGTACTACTTCTACTTCCATATCGGCGTGTGCCAAAGGCGGAGCAGTGGTAGCGGCTTCACCGCGGCTGAACATCGCCGCGAGCGAGTTTCAACCAAAGAGCACGCGCTCCGCGAACAGCTCGGTCAGTTCATCGCCGCTCGCGCGCCATCGTGGCGCAACGGGAGCTACCGGCGCAATGACTGTCTCCGTACCGCCGTGGTTTTCCGCCTCCTCTGCGTCCGTCGCGGGCGGCTCGGCCTCCTCGGCGGGCAGCAGCAGTGCTGGCGCGCCGAGCTCGTTCGGCGCAGGACCGGGTACGGTGTGGGGCGCGAGTAGTAGCGGCACCGCAGCTCTTCCTCTTGCCGGGTCCGCCCTTGCAGCGGGCGGCGGCGCCGAGGAAGTGCAGGACGAAGAAGAGGACGATGATGATGACGACGACGACGAGTTCTCGCCCTTTGGCACCGCCGCCGCGATGTCTTCTTCCCGTCGTCGCCAACTCCGCCTCCCGCAGCGCGCCGGGTCCTCCGACGTGCCTGGCTGGTACAGCAGCGGCAACAGCGCTGCGTCTGATGCAGGTAGGAGCGAAGATGGGGCCGGCGCGCTCGCCGATGCGATGGAGTCCCCGCTAGACGCGACCATGACGCCTTTCGACGTCCTCTTCTCAATTCTGATCGGCAAGACCACAGCAGGTGGTAGCAGCGGCGAGGCGGACGTGTCTGCCACGCAGGACGCGCCGCAGTGGACGCCCGAGAAGGTGGAGGAAGCATTGGCAATCAACAACTGGGATGTGGAGGAGACACTTAAGATGATCATCAGCAATCAAGGGGAGCCGCTCCTGCCACAACCGCAACCGGCAGCCTCGGCGTCGTCAGTGTCCGCATCTTCAGAGTTGCATCCGGGTCCCATCTTCACGCCCAAGGGCCAAGACGTGCCCGCCAACTCCGGCCTCAATCCAAAGCTCTACTTCCCAGCAGGTCCGAAAGGCTTTGCACGAGGAGGGTCGAGTGGCGTGCAAGTCATGTCCGTGGATGCGTTTGCAGGCGCAAAGCCGATAGCGGCGGTGGGGAGCAGTCCTCGGCCGAGTTTTGCACAGGCGCAGCACTCGCCATCCGCGATAGCCGCCAACCCTCCGCCTGTGATCAGCCCGAGCGCTGCAGGCTCTGTCGGCGCCTCACGCGTTTGCCGGTACTACCTCGCCGGGGAGTGCAGGCGCGCCGATTGCCGCTTCAGTCACGACCTCGGGCGCGCTCTGTGTCGTTTCTGGCTCAAGGGCCAGTGCCTCAACGACCCTTGCTCATTCTTGCACGACTACGATGTGGTGAACAGCCTCGCGTCTGGCATCGCTTCCTCCGCTTCGATTAGCGGCGGCAACAATGGCTCAGCGTACGGCGGTGAAGGAGGCGCGTCATCAGCTTCCACCTCTGAGGGCCCCGAGACGCCGCTTGCCTCCGCAGAGGACTTCCCCAGTCTGAGCGGCGGTGGCGGCGACATGCAGTCGTCTGGCTATGGCCCGGGCAAGGCGCCAAGCGCTCCTGCTTGGCAGACCCTGTCGAAACGCAACACAAACGATGCGAGTAGGACACGCTGGGCGCAGGCCCTCCAGCGCAAGAATGTCCCGCCAGCACTGGCGGCTGTACGCGCGGGTGAACGGGCGTTCGTGCCGGGATCTGCGCGGAATGCGCCGACGAGCGCAGCACCCACACAGCCTCTTCTGCCGCCGTCTGCGCCGCTGACGCGCCCATCGCCCTCGCGAATCGCACTGCGTGCGCCGTCGCTGTTGCCGACGCTGTCGGTCGGGCGCAGCGCGGCATCGGCCTACGCGGCGCACCGCAGTGGGACGCTCGCGCTGTCCGACGGGCGCAACCGCGCGCTCGCCAAGGCCGGCGAGGCGTGGCGGCGCGGAGACGGTGCGGCGGCGCGCGCATGGTCGCAGGAGGGCACGGCGCTGAATGCGCGCCTGGCGGAGGAGAGCAAGACGGCCGCGCAGGCGCTGCTGCGCGAGCGGCACGCCGAGCTGCGAGAGCGCCTGCTCAACAGCGGCTCTGACGGCGGCGGCTGGGGCACAGGTGCAGCGGCGAGCGACGAACCAGGCGCAAAAGGAATGCGCGGCAAACTCGTCGGCGCCGGTCTCGGGGTTTGCTTGGGCGTCGCCAGAAAGGAGGGCGTTCCCGGCGGCGCCAAGCTAGCGGTCGAGGAGCGCGTCGAGTGTTTGCTCGACTTGCACGGCTTGGTGAGTGCAAATCGCTAGTAGCCGGCTCTTTTTTCACTGATCGCCTCTCATTTCTTTTTCCGACATATGCAGCACGCAATCGAGGCGGTGGAGATGGCAGAAGTGTTTCTACGTAAGTGATGACTTTGCAGCTTCGATACAGTTAACGTGATGCACCGACTGACTGTGCGCCGCTGTGATATTAATGCATCTGTCTACAGTCGGATTGGAGCGCGAGAACCTGCGCGGATTGGCCTACCTCGCTGTCGGCGAGGGCCGGCACAGCGCCCGCGTCTCCGCGCGGGATGGAGACCGGCGCAGGATGCAGCTGAGCGGCGCCGTCAAGCAATTTTTGGCCAGCTGGGGATACCCTTTTGCCAGCGTAGAGGGAGTGCTTGTGGTTGACCCTTGTACGCATCTGACGTGATCGATACATACTCTTAGAGCGTTCAAAGCGTCCAGCGCTTCGCAACATGCAGTTTTCAGCGTTCATCAGCGTTAGTTGTTGCGATCTCGTGGAAGATGTCACCGTATGTAAGTGCAAAGTGCAACAGATGCTCCTCCCCTTGTGCATCGTGCACGTACATACATACGCACATGTGACAAGCCAGCTGCAACCTGCAATGCTTTGTCGATTGCAACGTGGCACAACTAGCAGATATCGTGCAACGTAGCGCGCCGTTCAAAAGCAGAACCACGCTGTTGGCGGATCGCATGTAAGTCACTCACAGGCGGAGAGCCGAACATTGCCGACTGCCATCTGTCATGTATGTATGTAGGTGCACAATCCACAATGTATATCATGAATGTTCAATGTTGCGTGATTTTTGTGCTTTGCTGCTTTTCGCTTGCTGTGAATGCCTTTCACTCCGAAGATCATTGATATTGTTTTAGCACGCGAGCGTGTAACAGTAGTTACCGGACATGTGACTATCTGACTACCCGCACTTACTATGTGTGTATAGGTGGAAGATCCAGTCAGGCCAGGTCCTCTTCCACTTTCCAGACCCATCCAGACTCAAGCAACGACTCTTTACGCACTTACGTACTGTCGTGTCGTAGTCGCGGGGCACAACACGCCACCAAAGTCTCGAGACTGCCTGCAATGTGCAATTACAAAGGGAGAGCTGGATACAGAAGCGGTTTGTATTTCATTCATTTGTAATTTTGTCTGTACATGGGAACATACATATGAGCACACCTCCTTGGGTCCTCGACAGGAATTGGAAGGCATCTGCCCCGAGGCAGACCGCTCTCGTCTTGCAGTGCTCTCGCACGTTACGCGACCTACGCACTGCGCTGATGAAGTGCCGTGCGGTGATCTGTGCCCTATACTTTTCGGGTGTCGGGCCTTCAGCCGTCCCTTTCAATGTGTATTTTTGGTAACCGCGCTAAAGCTCAAAGTTCTACACACCGCATGCGGGGGACGAGGCAAGTCACGTGGCTCGTCTGATCACCCAATTGGGTTAGTGTGGCGATGTGACGTTGAGACAGTGGCCGAGTGCCAAGGATCTGCAAAACGAGAACAGATTGCAGCCTGAAAAATGTTAACCCTCGCTATTAAAAAAGAAAAGGACGCTAACGTCTTTTCCAGACCGCGAGGTCCCAATGTCCCAATCTGGCGTCCAGCAGTAGTCTATGTATGCACGTATGTATGATCTACGATCAACAATGTGACCGATGCGCGCTCGTCGAAAGGCTGGACCATGCGGCCCGCCAGAGACCGATCTCATCTCCTCTCTCGACTGATACCGGGCGATGCATCGTGCGTGCAAAAGGACGATGGGACTGCAACCTTGTTAGGCACATAGGATCTTCCGCTTGCAGCTCGGCTCCACTCTTCTCTGTTCTGGTTGGTCGGGGACCGCGTCATGAAAGCATCGTGTTGCAGCACATAGGACACACTGGCAACGCTGATATCGATGGGTTGCTCACCCGAATAAAGACATCCAAGCACATCCCTCATCTCCCACCTCGGACGCCCCTCCCTTTCCTGCTTCACAGCGGTTGAGCCCACTTCTTTGCCTTATCGCTCTTGGCTCTTTCGAGCCTCCCTTCGCATCTCGTACCTCCTGCCACGACCTTGCCCCTCCCCTCTCTTCACGATGCAGTACCCCTCCTTCATTGCCCTCGCCCTGGCGATGGCCAGCTCGACCTCAGTCCTGGCCGCCCCCGCCTCGCAGCCGCGCGGTCTGATCGAAACACTCCTGCACGCCCCCGCCGTCATCCCTTCCGCTTGGCAGCAGCTCGGCCTTTCTCAGGGGTCCGCACCGCTCGAGATCACCATGACCCTCAAGGGTGAGAAGCAGGATGCGCTCGAGGCCCGCATGACCCAGATCGCCCAGTCGGGCAGTGCTTGGCTCACGCCCGAGGAGTTGGCGGAGTATGTCACCCCCGCCGCAGCGGACATTGAAGCTGTCAAGTCGTTTCTCACCTCGAACGGCGTCCCTGAGAGCGCCATCTCATTCTCAAAGAACAGCGACTTGGTCACCGTCCAGACGAACGTTGCGCAGGTCAGCAAGATGTTCGGCAACACCAAACTCTACGACTTCTCCTACCTGGGAAAGACGTTCAGCCGCGCCAAACAACTCACCATCCCATCCTCCATCGCCAACGCTGTCCAAGACGTTGCGCCGCTCACTATCTTCCAGACGGTCAAGACCGGCCCGGCAAAGCGGTCGACCATTTCCCCTCACGCCGCCTTGGCAAACTCGACAGCCGTTGACTCGGTTGCTGCCACGCCCACGTCATGCACCAGCGCCTACATCACTCCACAGTGCCTACGCGACCTCATGGGCACAAGCTCGTACACTCCCACCCCCGTCAGCGGACAGATCGACGTCACCGTGCTCGGCTTCATTGGCCAGTACGTCTCGCAGAGCGACCTGACAGGCTTCCTCAAGAGCTACCGGCCCGATGCCGCCAGCTATCAGATTCCCATCAAGAACGCCGCCGGTGGCCAGAACAACCCCAGCAGCCCTGGCGTCGAAGCTATGCTCGACGTTGAGTACGTTGTCTCGCAAAACTACCCGCTCAACACCGAGTTCCTCTACTACGGCTCGCAGGACGGCGACATCTTCCAGCAGGCGTTCAACTACATCTACACGACCTACACAGCCCTCCCCGGCGTCATCACGGTCTCATATGGTAGCGATGAGCAGAGTACCTCGTCCAGTCAGGCCTCTTCCCTCTGCAGCACCGCCCAGAAGCTGACAGCTCAGGGCACTACTGTTGTGTGAGTTGAGACGCAGAGAGTGATGACGACGTGGACGACTTGCGTGCTTTTTACTGACTTTTCTTCCCTCGCCCGCTCCATCCCCATTTTGTCAGTTTCGCATCCGGTGACAACGGTGTCGACTCGGTCCAGCCTTCATCCGCGCCGTCCTGCAAGAGCGGATTTGCCCCCACGTACCCATCAGGCTGTCAGTACATCCTCTCCGTGGGCGGCACACAGAACACCAACCCCGAGCAGGCCACAGACCCTTCGCTCAGCGGTGGCTTCTGGTCAGGCGGCGGATTCTCAAATCTTTACAGCACGCCGTCCTTCCAGCGGAGCACCGTCACTGCATACATCAACTCGATCGGCTCCACTTCGTCTGGCTACTATAACAAGAACGGTCGCGGCTTCCCGGATGTTGCGGCGCAGGCTGCCAACTACGTCATCGAGCAGTCCGGTCAGCTCGAGGCAGTCAGCGGCACCTCTGCCGCCGCGCCAACGTTCGCCGCGCTGCTCTCGCTCCTCAACGACGCCCGTCGCGCAGCTGGCAAGGCACGCCTCGGCTGGGCCCACACAACACTGTATGGCAGCCCCAGCTCGCTCGCGGACATCACCACGGGCCAGAACAAGGGCTGCCCCTTGCCGCAGCAGAACCTGGGCTTCCCGACCGCATCTGGCTGGGGTGAGTAGACGCGATGCGCACAGCGATGAAATATTGATGATTTGCTGATGGCTGACGATTTTTTCCTTGCCTTTCTTGTCCTTGCAGACCCAGTCACCGGTTTGGGCACGGCCACTGGCAAGTTCTCTGCCCTCCGCTCCCTCTTCGGCGTTTAAGGAAACACAATGCGCCAACGAAAGGACAGGCAAGCATGGCTGCTCTCCTCTCGGGTGGAGCTACATACCACCACTGTCCTCAGCATCGCCATCACCAACAACCTCACAGCAATATCTTATTCGCTATTCATTTAATCCTTCCATTTGACGAACCATCAGGAAGGCCATGCCGTCTGCTTGCTCTTGCAAGCTGCTCGAGAGATTTTATGATCCATGTATACCCCTAAAAAGCAATTGCATCCCATGTCACCAGCAGGAAAAGGTGCTTCAAGGCTCCTGGGTTGAGTCACATCGAGCTCTGGGACGGCCTCCGATTTCTCAGATGGACGACTGATAGGTGACTGTGCACGTTGCGGCGGTCGCCTGTCGCCTGTAGCTCTCTCTCAAATGACTCAGCCACAGACCATGGCATACTCCCCTTGACACCATTCTCTGGTTCTCAGAACATTAAATTATGGTGGCTTCTGGCTCTTCGAAAACTGCTTATTGTCCCAGGCGAAACCCGAAAATGACAATGGGTAATGTGCGTCTCTAACTTTACCTTTCTTTCCAACATCTCACAGAGAGTCTCACAGCTCGCATCTCATCGCCCATCGCTCATCACGCTCCACACACCACACACTGCGTATCACATTCATCAGTCACGTCCCATGATACGACTGCAATTAATGTGTGTTGGTACTTCCCACTTCCGGCGGATTGGCCACAGGTAGAAAAGTGCCGGTGAAGTACAATATATTCTCTGGTGGTCTTGGGTAGAGATAGATCTTTGACGGCCCCATAGGCGCAAGCTGGAGGGAGCCCCAGCGTGAAGGGAAAATCGGCTCCATTGAGCCCTTGCTCGTCAGTGACCCAGGTCGAGTACTCCCCGGTGGACACAGCGATGCCATGGCCACCTGGAAGCGCAAGGTTCGCAGTGCTGTAGAAAGGATACAAGAACATTGCGAGAAAGCGCAAGCCAGAGGCAGAGTCGTAGCATAATAGTCGAACACTTGCTGACTCTTCAAGCTGGGCGAGCCATCCGCGTCCTTGAACGTCTTCGCGAAGGTGCATGGCACAGAGGGGAGCGTGGCGCACGAAACATTGCTGGGTCCAAAGTGGGCTCCTCCTTTGGACATGATAAGGCACGCACCTGCAACTCTGCTTCGCAAGGCTGCATCAACGGCCGTTTCGTGAGATCAACTAACTCGACTCCCGAGAGCTCGAGCGCTCAAGGGCCCACAGTGCAGCGCTCCATAGCAGCAAGGAGTTTCAAGCGTCAAGAGTCAAGAGCCAGGACGTGGATGGAGAGGGCTGCGCAGCGTGCGCTCTCGGCTCCGCTGCGCTTGAGCATGACGCTACGAACGATGAATGATGATCCGATCCATGATCTTCACTGGATCCATATGTAATTATGTATCCCTTCATGCCGTGGATTCCGTTCGTTGTCTGCCCTCTGCAGTGTTTGTGATCCTTGCTCCCATCCGTTCGCGAATGTCGTTCCTGGCAAATAGCCTTCCAGTAGAGTCCGGGATTCGGGACAGGCTTCACGGACTCTGAGGTGACTCTGGCTCACCGCTTGCAGTTTTTTGCATTCTTTTTTTTTGTCGATTCGTGTTCCGTAGGTTCGGCAATGCAGCAATCACACATCGAAAACCAGACCTTCCCATAGTATTTTGGACTCGGTGAACTCCACATTCTCATACGTTCTTTGAAGTACATACATGCAATGCTCGTCCTGATACTCCAATTCGATTACCTTGTTTGGATCGGGAGGCGCCGCCTGCCCCACTTCGCCGGACAGCGGCAAATCAGGGCTATGAGGACAAATGCTTCCCTCTGTCGTTGCCGATTAGACTACGCGAGAAAACGCAACCGGAGAATGAAAGAATATATATCTGGAAGCCGTTGCTCTTGTAGGCGAGACGTTGACGGCCGAGTTTTCAAGAGAGAAGCAAGTGATGACTGCTGCAAGCCTGGGTTTAAGGATAGTCAACTAAAAGTGTGACGCGACGGAAACGCGCATCGTTGCGAGTTACCCAACGACAACACCGCTCTCCAACCCACAGTGTGCAATACCATTCAATCCAGGTCTTCGAAGAATCTCTATTTCATACTGGGGAGTCCCAAGTAGTTTCCGGCGGAGAAACGCTAAGCGTAGGACAAGAGTTGAGATGTGAACCCTAGAAACTGCACACGCATAGACGCCGATCAGGCAGACCGACACAGAGAGAAGCAAAAAAGAACCATTGGAAGAATGGGGGGTTTTACGCCATAACATCTTCAAAATACTTGAGCTTTGGGTTGAAAACGCCACATAAAGCCACGCGGCCCTGTTGTTCGCACCACATTCAAGTTTGCGAATGGTAGGTGGTGAGCTGTTATTGATCCCTGTCCCAGTGCCTCTGTGCCTATGTCAGTCAATGGGTTAAGTCCGCTGTCTGAGCCGATCGCAACTCCATGTGCCAGGTCAGTCCTCTGCCCCAGTTAGCGTCATAAAAGTGTTGATGGAAGCAGCAGGACTGCAAAAGCCAGAAGGAAGCACAACAACAGTAGACATCCAACAGCCAGTAGGGCAGAGTGGGGCAGTTCCCAACGACAGGCAACGAGAGAGACCACAGCAATACGCTGCGTCAGGCTTCCCGGGCACCACGGTCAAGTGGATATTCAGAGATTGTCCCGGAAGACAATTAATTCTGAGCTTGGGGTCCCACAACACAAAGGGTCATACTATATCACATTCTCCCAGAGTCTGGCGAGATATAAGATATGGCGCAGCTTTTGTAACCCGAGGGCACAGCAGCGTGGGTAAGGGACCAAGAGCTAGAGTCGCCGTGCCAGCTCCCGAGCACTGAGCGCTGAGCAGTCCCTGCATGTTTGGTGTGTCGGGCCTTAATATGATTGAGTAAATGATTTGCGAGTCAGTCTTAGAACCCGTATGTTGGTTCATATGTACAGTTTCCATGTTTGCCATCTACTATTGTTAAAATTGAAATCCACCTGAAGCCACGTGGCACTCCCTCGCCCTAGCGCCTGCCTTTTTCAAACCCCGTGCGCGCCTATGCAGCCTCTTGCATACTGCGGTCTGTTGCTGGTGCTTCCATGCTCGGCCGTCCCAGCGCTGATCCCATGCACTGTGCCAATCTGCAGTGCATGGCCACGGGACAGTATGTACAAGCAGGTTTACGTTGTCACACCGGCCGGCCGCCCAGGATGCGATTCGGTTGCGACCTCTCCAACAGGCTCAACTTCAGCACCAAACGTCGCTGGAGTCTAATTGGCACCCTCTTCGTCTGGCGATACCTTGTCTCAACATCGTTCGCTCAGGTTTGTCGCGCGCATGGTGCCCCGAAACGCTAGCCTGGCTAGAGGCTGACCACAGGCGTAATCGTCACATCTACATTCTCTACCGCTGCCCTGCTTTGCGCGACTCGCAGGCAGGAAATAAACTGGGTTTGCCGGTGCCGCACTTGGTAGTCTGGAAGGGCCTTGAGCTCGAAGTGTGACAGTCGTGAGAGTGCATCCATCCATGCTTGAGGCTGCTTACTGCAAGGCCCTGGACTCTGGAAAGGATACACAGTAGCCAGGTTCTAACTGGCGCTCCGAGATAACAATGCGAATGCCAAGTGGAGTGGATACCGATTCAACGAAGACACAGGCAGATTAGACGGAAGAGAGTCCACTTTCAAACTCATCGTTTGTGATGGCGTGTCCATTAGGGTTGGGGAATTGCTGAGCCCTGTGGGTGCCGTGCGCCGTGAGACTGCTATGATGCTGAGCCTTGTTAAGACACGAGGCTTTGACTACATAGTGGTTGCTGCCCCGTGTAGAGCAGTCGGGCGCTGAAGGAGGGCTTCGCCACTCGCCCAGTCTCCAAGCGCGATGCCCTTGTGCAAGCCTTCCGTATGCACAACGAGTGGGCGCGGGGAGAGATGTGGCGTGGGCGATGCGCAATATGTTTGACCTCGTGTGATCTACAGCCTGCATCTTGGGGGAAGCTTTGTAGAGGGAAGAAACGTGGCTTGATCTCGCGCTGAGCTGGGCAACAGGCACAGAGACTACCCCGCTTCTCTCTTCCACTTGTGCCCCGTGCGGCACTCCTGAGTGCCGAGCAGTTGCCTTTAACCCAGCACTGGACCAGCTGCGTTCGCCACACGCTGACCTCTATACTAGTGGTTTCCAGTTCACGTTTCTCTTGGTCACAAGCATTCGTTCAACCGTTCAAGGCTACGTCTACCTCTGCAATGGATGGACAATCTTTGGCCGCCGCCTTCTACTGCATGTACATACAATGCAACATGTACATACCCACCACTGCGTTGACCGTCCGACCGTCCCGTGCGAGTTCCGTGCATTGGCACCTCGCGCAGTCGACATGCTTTCACAAAGCATTCCAAGTTCCATGACCCCCTGTTCGTATAAAGTCAACGAAGAACGGCTCCTGCTACCTGCAACGATGACCTCGCCGCCCCATTCCCCTTCCTCCCTCCGGCCTATACGCACATTCTTCGCCCTCACCTGCTACCTCCCCGCTTCCTGGTCCTCTCCTCCCCGGATTTGACACTCTTCATTCGTCCACAAACCTGGCCCATCTCCCCGTGATTTTTCTTATCCCAGCATGCATTTCGCCTCGTTCATCGCCCTCTCCTTGGCGCTTGCCAGCTCAGCTTCGGTCCTGGCCGCTCCGCAACCCCGGGGCGTTGGAAATGTCGTGTTGCCAGCGCCAGCGATCATTCCGGCTGCCTGGAAGCAAGTTGGCGTCTCCAACCTCTCTGCGGCGCTTCAGATCACCCTCCCGCTCAAGGGTGCTAACCAGGATGCCCTCGAAGCTCGTATGATCCAAATCGCCCAGTCTGGCGGTGCTTGGCTGACGCCTGAGGAGCTGGCCACGTACGCGACACCAGCGCCTGCTGACATCGCCGCGGTCAAGTCGTTCCTTGCGGCGAACGGTGTTCCTGCAAGCGCCATCGCGCTCTCGAAGAACAGCGATTTGGTCACCGTTCAGGCGACCGTTGAGCAAGTCAGTAAAATGTTCGGCAACGTGCAGCTCTACGACTTTGAGTTTAAAGGCAAGACATTCAGGCGCGCAAAGCAGGTCACCATCCCCGCCTCCATTGCCAACGTCGTCCAGGACGTTTCCCCTCTCACCGCATTCCAGACTGTCATGACTGGTCCAGCGAGAAAATCGTCGGTCTCGCACGTAGTAGCCGCTGTCAGCCAAGCGAATTCGAATGCCACTGTTAGCAATGCCGCCACCGCCGCGACCGCCCCATCGTCGTGCACAAGCGCCTCCCCTTACGTCACTCCACAATGCCTGCGCGATCTCATGGGCACCAGCTCTTACCAGCCCGCTCCGGTCAGCGGACAGGTCGATGTCACAGTCCTCGGTTTCATTGGGCAATACGTATCGCAGGTCGACCTAACGGGCTTCCTCACGGCCTACCGTCCGGATGCCGCCAGCTACCAGATTCCCATCAAGAACGCTGCTGGAGGCCAGAACGACCCGACCAATCCGGGTGTCGAAGCCATGCTGGACGTCGAGTACGTCGTTGCGCAAAACTACCCGCTCAACACCGAGTTCCTCTACTACGGCTCGCTGAACGGCGACATCTTCCAGCAGGCGTTCAACTACATCTACACGACCTACACAGCCCTCCCCGGAGTCATCACAGTTTCGTACGGTGACCTCGAATCGAGCTACACATCCGCCCAAGCCTCAGCCCTTTGCAGCACTGCACAAAAACTCACTGCTCAGGGAACGACCATTCTGTGAGTGCATGCGCACAATTTCACAACGACATGACTGCGTTTCACTGACTTATCGTTCGGAACCTGCCCACCCCACCCCCTTGTTGACAGCTTCGCCTCCGGTGACAATGGTGTCGATGCGGTCCAGTCGTCGTCCGCACCGTCCTGCAGCTCCGGATTTCACCCAACATATCCCTCAGGCTGCCAATATATTCTCTCCATCGGCGGCACACAGAACTTCGGCCCCGAGCGGGCCACGGATCCGTCGCTCACCGGCGGCTTCTACTCGGGCGGCGGCTTCAGTAATGCGTTCACCATTCCTTCCTTCCAAAAGAGCGCAGTAAGCACGTACCTCAAGGCGCTTGGATCCACCTCGTCTGGCTACTACAACAAGAATGGCCGTGGCTTCCCGGACGTTGCGGCACAGGCTGCCAACTACATCATCGAACAGGGCGGCCAGTTCGCTGCCGTCAGTGGCACCTCTGCCGCCGCGCCAACGTTCGCCGCATTGCTCTCGCTCCTCAACGACGCCCGTCGCGCAGCCGGCAAGGCACGCCTCGGTTGGGTCCATCCTGCCCTTTACGGCACGGCCAGCACACTCAGCGACATTACGACGGGCCAGACCAAGGGCTGCCCTTCGCCGCAGCAGAACTTGGGCTTCCCGACCAAGTCTGGCTGGGGTGAGTACGCGCACGGTATCAGCGACATGATGATGATGATTTGCTGGTTGCTTACGACCGTTTCATCGCCGTCCACGTGTGCACAGACCCTGTCACCGGCTTGGGCACGGCTACTGGCAAATTCTCCGCGCTGCGCAGCCTCTTTGGCGTCTAAGCAAGAGGCAGCGCTCTATGTACAGTCATAGAAGATTCTGAGGGTATCACCAGTCACCACCGACCGCAGCATCATCATTCGCTACATCACTGTCCCTTTCTGTATTTGTCCTGCATTCATGTCGATGCACTCTGGGCGGCCGCGCGGCTCTCATCGGCTGTAAGCGGCTCGGGAGTGTTTCATATAATTTCATCACAATCTCGAGAGAGTCGTTGGTTCCCATGGTATAAAGTCCGGCTTCCATTGTTATTATTGCTGATCGATGGACAGTTGCCAAACCTCAATATCTTCCAGCTCCTCCCAGTCCCACTGTGCGTTGCCGAACTGCTCGGTGGCTTGGCGTAGTTCACACTGAGAAACAGCGTGCAAGCTGAAGCCAAAGATACTTCGAGCGCAGTCGAAGGCTCGCTCAACGAACACCGGATCGCGCCTCTCGAGCGCCAGCAAGACGCGCGTGTGCCCTGGCGTGACGAGTCGCTTGATGGTGTGCAACAGCGGGTGAACCAGGTCTCCAGCGTAGAGCGTATCCGTTGTCAAAATGAAATCGATCGGCTGCACAGTCTCCTTCCCATGATTCCCGCGACCGACCAAGCTGCTTATGACATCGTCAGAAGCGCACCAGTCAAGCGGCAGGGCGTTCACCGTGCCCGTGTCTCCTTCGCCCTCGAACAGCGAGCGGTTACTCTCAATTGTCGGGTTGAGTACCTGGCTAAAACTAGGCTCAATGTCCGTGGCGAAAGCATCCCACCCGAAAGCAGCGAGCAGGACCGAATTGAGGCCCACACCTGCTCCAAGCTCGAGCGCCTTCGGACGAGGCTGTCCGCTTGCCAGTCGCGCCTTTGGTACGCTCGCAAAGTATGTGTCCGCAGTCGCCTGCATGTAGCAAGCCATCACCTGCGCCGAGAGCCAGAGCGACGACCCTGTGCTGCCGCTCGTGTCGTTCTGACAGAGAGTGGCATACTTGCGAAGAAAGGGGAGGGGGTATCGAAGCGTCGTCAAGTGTTTCGTACTTGAAGCGAGGGGAGGAGCATCGTGCGGCCACTCGGACTGCGCTTTGTGCCGGTCACCTTGCTTCTTCTGCGACCAACCACTTTGCCGTCGGCCCATGGCCTGTGTGGGCTGCGGTTGAGCAAGACTTCCCTCTGCAGCATCGACCCAACGAGCACTATCAGCCGAGATGGTGGGCAGCGGGGGGATCAACAATGACCCGGCCGGAGGGCTTCAGCCTTCGGGAGCGGCAGGCTCACACAGATCGAGGAGTCTGAAATGAACCTGTTCAGGCCTTGTGAACAACAGATTGATCCGTGCGGTGAGTACAGTGGCCATGCAAAGAAGGTCTATCTGAATATACAGGCAGCATAAGTAGCTGGATTTGAGGACCGCGGTTCTCCTTCCTCTGCCAAACCCTATTAGCGCAGTCCCACTTTCTTCTAGCTGGTGACCATCTCGAAGGGCATGTATGGCTCATCGCTTTCACCCTCCAACCTCCTTCATCGCAACTTTCACATGGAGATGTGCGTCGCGGTCACTTGGTGATTGTACACATTCCGGTAAACCAGTTCGGAAATTGAACTCCGTCGTGAAGAATCTCAAAGAATAACAGGAAGAGACCGTAACGATGGCGACCGAGGCCGCCCGCTATCCAGACTTCGACTCTCTACCCTCCCCAGCAGGGGCGGATCGCACTAATGCTAATTTTCCTCCCGGCGTATCGACTTACCGGATACCATCTTGGGCAAAGGCCGTTTTTGCACGCTTCCCGTTGCACGAGTGGCCTGAAGCCGAGGTCCACGATGCCTCCCACAACCCGCCGCCGAGCAAGCCGGTGCTATATGTGGCACAGGGTCATCCGCGCCGCTCGTCTCCCAGCGTTACCCCTACACCAGCCCGCGGGTGGGCCAGCTCGGATCCTCGCTGTCTTCGCTGGCAGATGTCGCTCATTTTTCGTGGAGTGGACTTTGAGACTGAGCAGTTGCAAGAGCGGAGCAGCTGGGGTCCCGATCCGGCGAATCAGATGCCTTTTCTGCATCTTCCCCCTTCTTACCAAGCACAAGCGGCGCTGCCGTCCACCTCCCGATCGGTGAAGAGTCTCGTCGCGGCACAAGACTTGCCCATGTGGTCAGAAACCAACGCACCATGGAACAGGGACAAAGTAGAGATTGGGCCCCGAACGGACCTGAAAGGCAAAGGCCCAGCGAGGCTGCAGGATGAGGAGCAGCAAGCCGAATCAGAGATCTGGACTTCTCTGCTCGAGACCAAAGTCATGGCCGGAGTGGTGAGACAAAGAAAAATGGGAGTATACTCGTTTGCTTACTGACCGCGGCATTCGATCGCCTTTTCAGCTGTTGCAAAGACTGGTACTACCTGACTTTGGCGCACGCGGCCCACGCTCAGCCGGTGCGCTTTCGAGTCTTCTGCACACGCATCTCTTATCACAGCAAAAACTCCTCGAGCTCCGGCGCATTGATGCGCTTTCCTCTGACTCGTCATCTCTTTCACGCATGCAGACTAAAAAGTGGTCGCCGTGGGGCATGCTTAGCAGTGCGCTCTCAAACGTCTCCTTCAATGGCAGCACGCTGGGAGGAGAGGCGGAGGAGGAAGACGCGAGCTTGACTGGCGCGAACGCCAGAAATGTCGATGCGGATTCCGTCCTTGCCGCCGCAGTCGAGGCATTGGAGGCTTTCGCTGCCCGCGTCGCTGCAAGCGCGCCTGAGGCCGAAGCCGTGGAGGAAGGCAGTATCACTTGGCTGTTGGGGCGACCAGAACCCGGCGAGCTGGATGCACTAGCTTTTGCGCTCCTGCACACCATACTCTCATTGCCGGTTGAAAAGGACATAAATGGCACGAGCATCCTGCGTGCCTGTGTCGAGCGCAGTCCTGCGCTCAGCAGGTGGACACGGCAAGTCTGGGCGATGCACGTCAAACCACGGGGCGGATGACACTTCTTTCGAATGTACGGTAACGTCGATACGAAAACTACATTGGGATGCGCATACGCATTCCGGCAACCGTTACAACAAGGGGCAGCCATGTCGACGTCGGAGCAAGGGAGCGTTCGTGTTAGAGCGCCTTTTGAGGGGTGGGGAGATCGAACTGTTGTCCTGCCAGGGGGTACGGCTCTCTAGCGGCTGCTGCTAAAAGAGCGACTGACGCGTTCAGATCCTCGCTGCGCGCCTTCCGCCTCGCCGTGCGCTTGCAGTCCTTCCGTGTCCTCTTTGAGGGCGCCGACGAGCGCGTCGATGGCATGGCGGCCCATGACGTCTTGCTGCGGATAGCAGATGTACTGCACATCCTCCATGGCGCCAAACTTGCTGCGAACGAGCTCTTCGAGCCGAGGTGGAACGTGTGGCTGATAGCGTTGTACGCCGCGCTGAGAGTGTGCATCTTCCAGCCCGACGCGTGTGCGATCGGCCTGAGGTCGCCAGCCGAGATGCCGAACGTGACGCGCTTGCATGCGTGCGCGGTGTCGGCCTGGCCTTCGTCGCGCAGCTGCTCGAGGACGTGCACCATCAGTGACTCGGATGTGCCCTTCACCTCGGGGTCCATCTCGAGCAGCCACTTGACGACGACGGTGCTATCGCGCACAGGTGTGAGCACGACCATGCCGACCAGCTTTTCCTCTTTCTGCGCTTTCGATCCTGGCTGACGTTCATGCTTGGCGGAGTGCTTCTGCAGGGCGGCCTCCTTCGCTTTGGATTCGCCCTTGCCGCTGGCCTCCTGTTGCAGCGGGTGGATGGGTGCCACAGCGTAGTAGTATGTCCGGTTCTCCAGGTCTCTCCACGGTTCCGTATCCGAGATGTGGATCTGCGCACCTTTGCCGGCCTTGCGACGCTTCCAGCGGACAATGCCCTTCTCGACCTCGTCGCGCGTCAGAGCACTGCTGCCGTCACGCTCAGGGTCAGGGAAGCGCCTGTCGACGCGGATGATGCGCAGACCCTTGCGGTGCGCCTTGTTGAGCTTGTTGCGCACGAATCGCTCCAGGGAATGCAGGGCGAACGTCGAGGGGTCAACGACATCCTCCTTGATGCACGTGATGGCGGACCACTCGAGCGGCTGCTGCGACAAGACTTTCATCTGCGCGGGGACGAAGTGTCCCGGATGCAACGTACATCGTCAGCATCAATGTCACACCTCGATGTGTTCCGCATGGATCGCCCACTGACAAATTCATTGTCCACGCAGCACCACATCGGCTTCTTGCCTTCGCTCTGGACGTGGTTAATCCACGCCCTTGCGACGCTCTCGTACTGCTCCGCAGGACACAGCGGATTCCCCCACGCCATGGCAAACTGGTGCTCCGCGTCGGATCCATTGACGAGATAGCCGATGAGTGCTCCGCGCCCCGGAACGGAGCTCTGGCCTGGCTTTGCTTGCTCGGCTATTTCCGCAGGCGCGGGGGCGAGACGAGATTGCGTGCGAGGAGGAAGAATCAGAACATACTGCAAATGCATCCAAGCAGCCGCAAGGCGGACACGCTGACTCACACTGTGCCTCAGGCCGTTGCCTCCACGTGCGATACTGTGGCTCGGTCCACGCGCTGCTGCTGGCGGTTCCGTAGAGCTTCAGCAGGCTCGGCAAGTCCGGGTGCACGGCAACATTGCCGGAGCCCGGCTCGGCAAGGCGGAGCATGGGCGCCTTGCCATCGGCAGCGGCTTGCCCTGCCGTCGAAGCCACTCTGCCGCTGCGGGGCTGCTGTTCCACAGCGCGGCTGCTCGAGCTGGTTGCAGAGGCTCCATCGCTGTGCATCGCTCCAGGCCCATCGCTATTGGATGCAGAAGGGGTGTGCTTGAGTCCATGGCATTGCTGCTGATGCTCCTGTTTTTGCGTCGGCGTCGGCCCCTGCTCCGCCGCAGCGGCGCTGGCAGGAAAGCAGTCTCCCGGCTCCACCGGCGTCGTGCGACCCGTCGAGCGGCCACATTCGTCACAACTGCGCGGGCGACTGTGGCCTTGCTGCGAGCCGCTCGTCGCCGAAGCGGGGGGAGAGCTGATTTCAGACGGCGGCGAGTGGCCGGTTGTGCTCGTTGTTGCTTGCTGCATGTGCTCGTGTTTGTCGCGAGCGATGTGCGCCGACGGGTTGTCGCTGTTCCCCGCAGCATGCGCCAATGTCGGCGGACGAGAGAAAGAGCTGGTGCGAGTGAGCGTTTCATCGTGAGCACGCACATCGATCTCCTCCTCCTTGGGCGTATTTCTTCGGTTCGGCGCGACGCTGCTCGTCTTGGCCAAGGCTTTTGCTTTGCGAAGTATATGAAGCATCGTGGGCAGGTGTGCAGTGGTTCCGACTCTGCGCAGCCGGTGCGTATGTTTTCGCGTTTGGGAGCAGCGCGCGAAAGAGGTCTCCGATGCGGTTGCCACCGGCAGCAACGGCTAAGTATTTAAACGTTTGTGGCCCGGCATTGCTGGCCGACTCTTTGCTTGCGTGGTAAGACCATGTGATGGCGAGCAAGCTCGAAGGCACGGTGACTCCATGGTGTCAGATGCGATCGATAATGAGAGTCGAGGAGATGGCTACCTCGTCCATTCCATGGCGTCTCGAAGGGCACAAACAAGCCTGTCAATGTCCGCCGAGAGAGAATAGACTGGCCGGATCTACCGAGCGGGGGCATGGGGTGGCAGCGGCGGTATGTCGCCCGTGTTGTCTGTCCTGCGACAAGAGGTGCATGATCAGCAAACGCCAGAACGTCAGCGCCAGAAAGGGTCCAGGTCCCAGTCCACGCACGCCCTCTCTCTTTGGCTCGTACTATGTATGCAAGTAAAAGGAAGCGGACTGTGACAACCTCGGACCCCCGGCTGCGGGTGCCGCGTTTGCATCTTGGGCAGTGTGCTGGCGGGCCGAGGGTGGGAGGGGGGCGGAAGCGGCCTCGTGACGACAGAAAGGGCAGTGAGCTACACGGCGCAAGTGCTCTGTCGGAGCAGTCTGCATAGTGTCGCTGCTAAATCCAATACATTTGTCGCACGCGCCGCCGGCATCGTAGCATGGGGGCATGTTTCCTTTCACGTGCCAGCGGCGAGTCGAAGAGGGTTGGTCCGTGGTGTGCACATACTTGCACGCATACATACAAACCATTTCTGCTCTGCCAATTGCTACCCCCGAGCCGCCGGCTCGCGCTCGGGCCGCAAGCATTCAATGAAACCTATACTGGCGCAGTGCCGTGCCAAAATGTCACACGCGGAGTCGCTTTAGCTCCAACAATACTTGACACGCACCAACGAAAGGGCCGATGTAGCGAACTGTCGCTCGCAGATGAGAAGATGTCAGGCCGCCAGGGTCCAACACATGGTCTAGCCTCAACTGGAGACATGATGGATTTCATATCATGTCGCCTCATCTCCACTCTCTGGTCGGCAGCTGTGAGCTGGCGTCTGGAACGCGCTCTCTCCCAATCTAAACTCTCTTCCGATGGTCTTGTGAGGGCCGCGATGGCGGATGACTGCGTTACAGTAGTGGTCCGACATTCCGACTGTGCGCGTGGCGGTGCAGCGCAGCACGTCGACTATCGATCAGACCGTCGAGTCGCGCAGAGTCGTCTGTGTGACTGTGCTGTGCTTCCCAATATCTGTAGTACCTGCAATCCGTGGTAGTAGGTAAGGTCCTTCCATCCACGCTGCACGCAACATGCCTCGCCTGACATGGCACATACATACATCAGCCGCACGGCCACCGACTGCATAGGCGGACAGTCTGTACATGAATGGCAGGCAGCAGAGATGGGCGCACCGGCCACATGAGCAAGTTGCGAGCGAATACACTAGCCGCCTCCGTCGGGAAGCAGAAACAGCCGTGGCAGCGTTTCCTCACCCGCCTGTCTGTAAAGCATTCTCGTTCGCTTTAACAAGTTGCAGGAGACGAGTGGATGGGTCGCGATACCCGCAAGCAGACTGTGACCGCGTATGCGTGACCCATCCGACCGCATCCTGGATACGTGGATATATCCAAGAGCGGTCGAACGACATGGAGGACCCCAACTCCGAATGCGAATCGCACTCGCGACATCCTTCACTTGGAGAAAAAAAAGGGGGGGGACGCCAGACGACGCGCGCTCCTTGACAAGCCCCAGAAAGGGCACATCACAGCATGTGTCGAGCTACCTTCGCTAGCTATCACCAGCACCCTGTGCCAGGCACCCGCTGGTTCACAGCATTGACTACATACACCACTCGCAACAGTACAGCCTTCGCATCCGCATCCATCTTTCCTAGTTAGAGACGCCGCAGTGCCGTCTCGTCGGCAAAGAAATGCGGTGCAACAATGGAAGAATCAGATGCTCCATCCGTCGGTCCCACAGGCACACACCCCCACCCCTCATGTCGCGGCTCGCGCCTGGAAGAACCCAAGAGCGGGGAAGCCGGAGCGCGGGTGGTGTGCTGGCCAACGTCTTCATAAGCAGGGGCGGGCACCGGTCCCGAGCAAAGACAATGTATATGCTCTGTGCCAATACGATACAGGCCCCACGTGCATGCCTCGCCTTGGCTCACATTTTCCTTTCCAGACCGTGCGACCCAGCCCACAGACTGTGGATGCGCAGCGTGCCTAAGGTGCAACTGGTCCGCACAGGACATGATCAACCGCCCCTTCCCTTTCATCCGGCGTGCCTCCCGGCCTTAACGGACGGCGGCACTGCACGTGCAGATTCCGGGCCACCTGTCCGCGCTCACGGCTTGGGCACGCGGAGCGTCTTGCTAACCATTGCCATGGCCCACACAAGCCAAAGCAGGGAGAGCCAGTGGCCCTCAAGCGCGGCGCAGCTGCTCCATGTGACTACGCTCTGGGGGGTCAGCACGCCAAGGCCACCGCTGCCGAGCGTGGCGCCGAGCGCACGCGCCGCGTGCGCGGTTGCGTCGAGCCGGAATGTCCCCAGCGGCACAGCGGAGGACGCGGATGCGGGCGCGGGAAGGTAGCGCGCGAGCAACCCATAGAAGCGGTAAGCGCCGTCCGGCGGGTTGAATACGCTCGGCGTGGCGGGGGACGACGGCACGCTGAGCGCGCCGGCCTCGACGCGCCCGAGAAGCAGGCAGACAGCCATGCCGCCGACGAGGACAAGCGACGAAGGGATTGGCAGGCCCTCAAAGTATTTAGCCTTGCCGCTCGCGTCGTGCGGCACAGCGGCAGTGGTGACGTTGAAGCGCGCTAGGCGTGCTATCCCCGCGCACACAAACACCGTCAGCAGTAGTGTGTCGAACGGTAAGCGCAGGCCGAGCGTGAAAGCGGCAAAGGCGGGCGCGGCACCGAAGCTGAGCGAGTCGGCGAGCGAGTCAAGCTCCTGCCCGAGCATGCTCGAGCTGCGCCGCCAGCGCGCCACCTTGCCGTCGAGCATGTCAAAGATGGCGCCAAAGAGTGGAAACCAGAGCGCAAACCACGCGTGGCGCGGATCGCTGGTGAGCAGATAGCGCGCAGAGTGGAACAGAGACTGTGCGCCACAGAAGCCGTTCATAAGCGTAAATGCATCGGCCAGATGGAAGTTCCTAGACAGCGAAGCGGTTGCAAAGCTTATTTGTTAACCATTCTGCCAACAAGACGCGAGGATAGATGATGAGGGCCTCACCTGACAAGCGAAAAATGTCCATCACGTTCCACGAACTGTACCAGGTCGGGCTCCTTCTTGACGCCGACTCCCTTGGCCTTCTTGCCCTTGTCGGCCAGCGGCTTCTTGGGGGCCGCCGCAACGCTGCCGGTCTTTACCTGACTCATCTCGCTTGTCACCCGTGCTGGCTGGTTGCTGGGTGCGAACGCGGAGTTGGCGCTAGGCTGCGCGACGAGCGATGAGACGCCTGCTGCGGGGTGGGAAGGCGGAAGCGATGCTGCGCCTACGCCTGCTGCTGGGGCTTCTGCCTCAAGGGACGATGCCGACAACGCAGCCTTGGAGATGGACTTCTGCTCGGCAGGTGCCGTTGAGAGGGGGAGCGCGGTCTGGGTCGGGGTCGCACCGATGCCTGTAGCGCTGCTCTCGTGTGTGCGCTGCTGCTGCGATTCGTGAATTCCAGAGGCGGCAAAGAGCGGCGCTGGTGCCTGCGAGGTTGTGGCTGAGATCACAATGGCACTGGCGTGTTAATAGCGTAACGAGGCAAGGGAGACAAGGATGGGACCATTGCGTCAGCACAAAGGAGACGAGCTCAAGAAAGCAAAGAACGTGGACCCATTCATCCATTTGATGCTAACAGCCGTGCACAGCAACAGCAGCAGCAGCAAAAAGAGAGCCGAGTTGGAAGGAGGGGGCGGAACGAAGCGAGCGGAACGGCGAGGGACGTCCGCCCCCGTCTCACGCGCACCCACACTCTCTCTGCGCTAGTGCTGACCCCTCGATGAAAGCGATGCGTGATGCGCTCACGTGGATGAGTATGTGTGCATGCCATGCACAGCAAACATGCTTGCTCCCCTTGATGAGTCGACGCGAACTGAAGCAGACGTGCCTCAGATGCATCGTGAGATGCCACCAAAAGAAATAACAGAGGATGGCCGGTGCTGCCGGTGCTGTGGCCCACTCAGGCTGCGTAGCCAAAGCTCGTCGATGAAGCATGCTGCCGACAAGGTGATAACCAACACAGGCACAGGGCAAATGGCTGCGGGCTGCTCATACTCACGGGTCTGTGATGGTCGGTATGGTGCCTGGCATAGTAAGCTAGTGAAGCCGGTGAACCTGCGTGGATGAGGATATGCCTTTCTTGTGCCCCGCCCCCATGGAAGCTAGATGTGCCTGCTTGTCGACAACCAAAGGAAATGTGTCGTTGTAGGGCAGCGAGACATGTGGTGCTCCTTGGAGTCTGCGGCTCGCAAGCCGCGCGAGTCAATCGCTTTATGTGTCCATCTGCAACGATGCTCTAGTGTTTGCCGATGGCCTTCCCAGCTGACGAGGACGGGCGGCAGATGGAGGACAAGAGACTATCGGCAAGACCCGAGATTCGACTGTGTCCGAGGGTGAGCTTGACGAATAAATGATCGAGACCCGAGCGAGAACAAACGAGAAGCTGCACACTCCATGACACAGGGCCAGCAGGGCTCGAGCGCACCGGCCACTCTGGCTATTAGACTCTGCCTGTGCTACAGGGGATGCTGTCTAAAAATCATCTCCTGCTGACCATGGATGTATAGGCTGGTGAGAGCGCACGCACCAGGCACTGCTGGCTACAGTCAGGAGCGCGCGCGTTCACTATAGCTGTTGAGACATTCGCGTTCATCGTCTCTCCCATCTCTCCAATCTTTACAATCTTCAACCAATACGTTCGGCGGCGGCTTGACCATCGGGCGATTCAACCCTCCTGCTTGTACATTCACGGACCAACACATACACACACACGCAGCACCTTCGCCGTCTTTGGGCACAGTTGGGCAGACAGCGTCTATCCAACGTAGATCGGCCACGCCGGGAGACGGACCACACACCTTGATCATCCTTCGCCCACTGCCCGGTCTCGCGTTGCTGTCTACTTCCACCCGCGTGGTGTTTAACAGCAGACTCTGATCGTCTTGTAACTTGAGTATCGAAAGCAAGATGGCGAAGAGTGAGTACGACACTGCTGTCTCCGCACCATTGCGCGCCATCCTTGCGTCTCGCTGGCTGCAACTGCGACGGCCCTACAGAGCTTACGCGGCAGCTCGTCTGCAGGCCAGCAAGCCATCCATGGCTGGCTGCACTGTATCACACTTTCGCAGCTGCGCCATCCGAGATCATTCGACTTACATTTCCTATTGTCCCTCTATTCTTCTTACCGCGAATCGCGCACTCTTGCAACGTCCTTACTGTCTCCTACAACTGCCGACTTGCCCATCACCAACGACGTTAACCGTCAACCGCCACGGCAGTCCCGCGCAACTTCCGCCTGCTGGAGGAGCTCGAGAAGGGTGAGAAGGGCATCGGCGATGGAACGTGCAGCTACGGCCTGGACGACGGGAGCGACGTGATGATGTCCCACTGGAACGGCACTATCATCGGCCCTGGGCACAGCGTGCACCAGAATAGGATCTACAGCCTCAGGATCCACTGCGGTGCAGAATATCCAGACAGACCGCCAGAAGTGCACTTTCTCACCAAAATCAACCTGCCTTGCGTGGATCAGTCAAATGGAAAGGTGCGTATGCCTGGCCTTGGCGACAGAGGCTGGCTGCACGCGGTCGGATTCGCACACTCGCCGCGCCCGCGAGCGCTCGTCGTTGCAGACCCTGATCGACTCTTCGGACCGCTGACACGCATGCGCTCCCCTCCCTCCCCGCATCCACGCCACTCCCCTGCTCCCTCAGGTGGAGCCGAGACTCTTCCCGGTACTCGCTCAGTGGCGTCGGGACTACACGATTGAGACGATCTTGATCGAGCTCAGGAGGGAGATGGCCTCCTCTGCGAATCGGAAACTGCCGCAGCCAGCAGAGGGGAGCATGTACGCTGCGTAGCGTCGGCGACAGAAGCATTTTAAACTAAACCAGAAGACTCAGTACAAAAGCGGTGCGCTACCGATCGACTCTGTACAGCAGCTCGACGAGCTTGTCCCCTTTTGCGCCGTACAGCAGGCTCTCCTGCTCGCGTGCAGCCTCGACACCAGCAGTCATGCTCGCTCCAATCGCATCTGTGCCGCGCCCCGCTGGCCTCTTTGCGGCGGGGGCTGTCAATGAGGGAGATGTGAGGAAATTGTCGACCCACAGCTCGTACGCTTTGCTGATCGTCGCGTCCGAAATGGGCATGTGCCGCGCGGATAGCAGCTTGAGGATCGCTGCGACGCGGGAGATGGCGGTGCGCGTGGATATAGAGATGTCCTGCATGTGGAAAGGAGAGCGTTAGAACGTGTACCCCGCATGGGCCCGGTGGGCAGGTCATTCGCGCATCGCACCTCGTTCTGATCCCCGTAGACACCAGCACCGGCTTCGACGTCCATACCGATCCCCTGTCCGCCGATCCCCTGCCCTTCATACACAGGCATGAGCGCGTCAGGGCCTGTCCCTACCCCTGCACCGGCCCCTGCTGCCGCGCCACCCCCCGCTTTGCCCTCTGACTCGGCGACATCGACGTCGAAGAGGATATGCTTGGCGCACCACACGTATCCGTTCATCCCGAGCGTAATGTCGATATTTGCGCGCTCGAGAAAGACAAAGTGGCTCTTGAGGCGCTGTATGAGACCCGGCTGCACGACCGCCAGGTCCCCGTTTCGCAGCTTGCCGTAGCGCAGCGAGCGCGTGTGCAGGCCGACGCTCCCATCGTTGAAGACCGACTGAACCTCCGCGACGAGCAGGTCGCCCTCCTTGAAGAACGTGCGCATCTGCAGCTCGTCCGATTCAAGCTTCTTGCGCTGCACACCGCCGGGCAGGTTGATGCTGGACAGCAGCAGCGTCGCATCTTGCCGCGAGTGAATGTCGACGCGCCAGCGCTTCGTGCCTGGCTGCACCTCGGTCACGCGCCCGACGACTAAGTCGCCGACCTCGGGCGCGTAGCGCGCACGCAGGGGTCGGACCGAGATCAGCCGGTTTGTCCGGTGGACCAAGCCGGCCAAAGAGGAGTAGATCGTGTCGGGCGTGGTGGGCGCCACGGCTGGTGCGCTTGCTCCTCCCGCACCAGCAGCTTGCCCTTCATCGTGGTCTTCTTGCGCACCCTCGGTCCGCCTGGATGAAGAATGCATCGATGCTGCCAAGTACGAGCCGTGCCCCCTCATGAACGTAGAAGAAGAAGCGATCGCCTCGCCCGCTGTCGTGATCCTGCCGCCTGTCCCCAACATGGAGGGCCCGGCTTCTCCGTCGAGATCATCCTCAGCCTCGTCCATCAGCTCATCGTCGTCCTCTAGAAATTCGTCGTCGTCGTACTCGTCGCCATCGCCAGCGCTGCATTCAGTGTATGCTCCGCTTGAGCTTTTCTCGTACCCGGAAAGGTGCAGGTAGGACGATGTGGACGGATCTCGTGGCGCCGAGAGCGAGAGAGGGAAGATCGAGAGGAGGTCCGCTCGGGCGGTCGTCGAGGTTACCATTTTCGCGCGACAGAAAGCAGCCGATGGGGGAAAAGATGTTTGCAGAGGGGCTCACACGTGGCCTTCACGTAACCGCCTGGGTCACTTGTGTGTGCTGTCCGACGATGGAGCCTTCGAGCCGCAAGCGTCATGCCGATCATCGCCCTTATTGCATGGAGAGACGTCGTTGGAGCCTGTGGAGGACGGTGGGCACATGATCCCGGATGGGCGGAACTCGGAACTGTTGTCCCCTCCAAAATTTTGTGCCATTCGAGTGATCGACGTCGGCCTTGTATACCTGGCTACTGACTGGCTGCTGGGGACGTTCTCCTCATAGTACGTTTTGGCTTGCATGATACTGAGGGCAGCTGTCAGCTGGCTACATGGTGTATCGGTAAATGACCGTCAACCGTGACTGATAAAGACAAGTAGCCTGCGATCCTCACGCGAAACACTGAAGCGGAGTATTTTCGAACCGACAGAGTGCGCCGGCTGCCTCTTGTTTTCGTCATCGGCCGCCCACTATGGCCAAGATCATCGAGGACGACAGGTCCGATGCGGGGTCCTCCACCTCGCAAGATTCCTTCGACTCTGCGCACTCACACACATCCCCGGCTACAGAGGGCACAAGCAGCAAGCAGCAGGCGCATAAAGCCGAGCTTGAATCGATCCGCGCAGCTTACGACGTGGCTGCAGCACCGTCGACCTTGAGGAAGGAAGCGGACACCCTCGAGCGCGATGCAGCTGTTCGCGCAAAGTACAAAGGTGTCAAGGCCACTCGTGCGGAGATATTTGGCGTTACAGATGGGCCGAGTGGCGAAGATATCGAATCAGGCGCAGAAGAAGACACAGGCGACTCGGAAGAAGACGAAAGCGACTCAGATAGAGGAGATGATGAGATGGATTCTCAAGAAGGGAGCGAAGGCGATGGGCTCGAAGGGCCAGAATACGAAGATGAGGATGAAGAATTAGATGGACCCGAGGACGAAGATGAGGATGATGACAATGAAGAAGATGACGACAATGAAGCGAGTGAAGAGGACGATGATGACCTCTTAGAAGACGCGTCACACCTCAAGTCGTCCGTCGGTATCACGCTCGCAGACCAAGCCGCAGAGCAAGGTCGACTGTTGTCTTCACTGGCAGCACGGAAGACGCAGGATGCGCAAAAGGGGCGTGCAGTCCGCAAGCAACGTGAGCTGTACGAGGCTGCGCTTGACTTGCGTATCAGGGCGCAAAAAGTGGTTGCAGCGTTAGGCAGCGTTGACGTGAGTCGACGGCCCCTGTTTCTTAACCTCAAGTGGTGCCACTAAAACCTGAATTCTCCTGCTCATCAGCGCGCAGTCTTTGATGCACTGCAAGACATGGCTGAGGACCATTCTTCCTGCTCGAAGCAAAATCTTTACGAGCTGGGCGACAAGTTACTCGACCTCTCCTCCGACCTCTTCTGCTTGCGAACACATCTTCTCCAGCAGAACCATCCCTCCCTAGAGGACTCCGAGCCGTTGGCGGAGCAGGCCGGAAAATGGTCCGGCGGAAGGAAGCGCAAGGCGTCATCGCTAGATGCTCTCGGTGCAGAAGCGAGCTCGCACATCTTCAGTCTCACCAAGCTAGAGTCTGCTATCGTCTGGCCCCTTTCCACCTCTGTCCTCTCGCGCTGGTCTTCGCAAGTCAATGTCGGGCAGACCGACGGCTCGGGAGCGAACAAATTCAACAGCAAGAATGTCAGTGGTATGCAGCTCAAGGCGGTCAACCAGAGTCCTGTGGCGCAGATTGAGACCTCAATGCGCGGCGATGCGCTTGATAGGCTCAAGGAGCGCACACGGACTTGGAGGGGAGGCAAACGGGTCAAACTGGTGTCTGATGAGGGAGCTGACGGGGACGCCGACGAAGCCAACGGCACCAGAGATGCGGAGGATATTTTCGACGACTCAGATTTCTACCACTCGCTCCTGCGCGAGCTCATTGAATCACGCGGCGCCTCATCCTCCGCCGCTTCCACTTCGCTACTTTCTGGCGGCGACGCCTCTGGCGACCCATTGTTGCCGTTCGCAGCGCTGTCCAAGAACAAGGTCAAAAAGCAGGTTGATACCAAGGCGAGCAAGGGGCGTAAGCTGCGCTACGAGGTGCATGAGAAGATCCAGAACTTCATGCCCCCGATCTCGACGCGTGTCACCTGGTCCGACGAACAGATGAGCCGACTCTTTGCGCAGCTCGGCGGCAAGATGGAAGAAGATGCCGAACAGGAGACGGATGAGGAGCCTCCGACGGTGCTGGCGAGTGGAGCGGGGCAAGTGGAGCTCAATGGGTTGCGTCTGTTTGGATGACGATCGCATTTGCAATGCCGTATAGCCATATCACCCGCAAATATACAGTCCAAATGGTGTGAATGCGAGTATCATTACTGCTGAGTATTGTACAGAGGCTACGAATATCGAACGAGCGCCAGGAGGAGGAAGAGATGCAGCTTCTGATGCATAGTAAACCCCAGCCCACGATGAAGTCAAACTTAGCAGGGGGTCGGTCAGCCGTCCACTTTGAGCATGCGCTTGGCAGTGCCAATGTGTGTGGCGTTGACTTTGGTCGCGAACCTGAGAGAGCACAGCGATTCGGACTGGTGGGCAGCCATCGGCGAGAGGGCAAGCAGCATAAGCCTGGGAAACCAAGTAATGGCGAAGGCATGATATGTTAGTCACCCACACGTGCGCGCCATTCGCGCGGACCAATCGTACTCACGTCTTGGAATTACCACCCAACGAGTTCTTGAGCAGCCACGTGAGCGTCGAGTTGCGGTAAGGGATGTGCGCGCTTGCCTTGTTCTGCCCAAGCGCGGCGATGACATCCGCGAGGCTGCTGAGCGACTTGTTGATGCTCTGCGCCTCCTTCAACCGCTGCGGGTCGGACGCGGAGCCTGAATTGCTGAGACGCTCCGAGCCTGCCAGATCGACAAGGTTGAGCACGGCATCGCAGCACTCCATTGTTGTCGCATTCTGTCCGCGTACGCGTAGGATGAAGACGCTGTGCGAGCGACTGGAGCGTTCGTTCATCAGCGTCGCAGCAACTTGACGTCGCTTCTTGGCCTTCTCGAGCAGTGCAAACACTTGCTGAGGCGAGACGAGCGGGACTGTGGGCGGAAGGCGAGGCGATGCAAGGAAGCTCGCGAGTTGATAAGCATCAAGCTGTATAATGAATGTCTGCTCTACTCACCAACCACGGCATCCGTAATGACCGTGCGCGTTTTGTCGTGTTTTATCTCGTGTTTGGCCTTGTCGAAGGACTCTCTCCCGAGCAAGTCATTGATACCATCGAGATACTTATAGGCAGAACGGCAAGCAGGACCAATCAGCAGCTCATTCCGTCACCTCACATTCAAAAAAACGCACAATTTCAAGCATCTGTCCTTCAAAGTCGTATTTCCAACCTTTATCCTTGAGCGCCTCAGCGGTGCCCCAGAGCATCTGTACAGCGCGGGGGATGAGACCTGCTCCTTGGTGCGAGGCCGGGTCGTCGCCTGTGAGGAAGCAGTCCGCTGGACCCTCGAGCGTATGCGTCTTTCCGGAGCCCGTCTGACCGTACGCGAAGATGGAAGTCTGCAAGTGAATGGAAGGCGAAAATGTGAGTTTTCGCGGAAAAAACGCTGCTGCAGAGGTCAGACGCACATTGTAGCCGTCTAGGACGGACTGTGTCAGATGGGCTACCTCCTCAAACACATCCGCCTGGCTCGCACTCGGCTGGAAGACGCGATCGAACGTGAAGATATGCTTGCTCATCGTCGCTGTGCCCGTCGCACTCTCTCCAGCTGCGAGGATCTCGATCTGATTCGCCTCCCTCTCGTTGGGGTAACGAATGCTCGCGAGCGCCGCAGTGCCGTCGGCCGCTGCTCCTCCCTGCGCCACCGCGTTGACTGAGTCGTTGCGTACGCTCGGCCGCACGCGTGCAAAGACGCGGATGTTGCCGCGCAGCTCCTGCACCTCGTTGTGCAGCTTGCGCCGCAGCGACTCGGCTTCGCGCAGCTCGTTCTCAAGGTGCGCATTACTGCGCTTAGTGTCTACCAGCTCGGCCTCGAGTGCGGCGATGCGCGCCTTGTGCGTGTCCAGATCGGTTGTCAGGGCGGTGATCTGGTTACGCAGAGCCGAATGCGTCGACTCCATTGTGAGATGTGCCGTGGACTGCTGGGACAGTGTCGCCTTGAGTGCTGCGACGGACTCGCGCTCGCGGTCCAGATCGTTCTCCAGGCGTCGCTTTTCGCGCGCGTGCTGTTCGCGCAGTTGCTCGAACTATCATGCAAAGAAATTGCAGAGCAGAGCAGAGAAAAAGTCAGTAGCTTTCTCACCTTCCTCTTCTGTTGTTTTCCTTTCCTTTCGATTCGAAAGAGACTGAAGGCCGACGCACCTCCTCTTCCTCAACACTTCGCCTGTTCTCGATGACGACCCTTTCTGCAATCCGCCGCTGCTCGCCAAGTTCAGCTTGCAGCTGCTTGACTTGCTCCTCCCCTCTCATGCGATCCTGCCTCTCTTTCATCAGACGCGCTTCGTTCTTCATCTTTTCTTCTTCAAACAGGTCCGCCATCGACGCCACCCTGGCTTCTAGCGCTTCCATACGAGAAGGGTCCTGTAAGGGCCAAGTGTAATCCGGGTTAGCTTCTGGAAAGATGATGGGCCTAGCAGCATGAGGCAGCAACTGACACTCTCGTCGCCGGAACGGCCACTGCTTGAGCTGACGGTACGCCGGACGTTGGGCATGAAACCGTTTCCTTTTGCATTGGGTCGCACTACGCCTCTGACCGCAGCAGAGGTCACATTGCCAGCATTGACACTGCTCCCGAGTGGTCGCCGAGCTGCTGGAACATTCGACGACGTGGCAGCCCTTTTAGAGCCGGGTAGGCGTGTGTTACCCGCGCCGCTGCTGCTATTGAGGGCCGAAGCTGCTCGAGAGCGGTGGCCGGAGAGAATGCGCGGAGAGTGCGGGTTGCCGGCCAGCAGTGTCTTCCTCGGCCCCGCAGTAGCGGTAGGCCGCTTGATGGTTCGCGGCACGGGGATGCTGGAGCTCAGAGAGGATGCTGGGCGACTCGGATCGTCGTAGATCTGAGGCGGATTGAAATACCAGATGTCACAAAGCGGGTGCAGCGGCGGAAAGGTCGACCAAATGTCAAAACAAAATCAGATGCAAGGCAAAACTCGGACAGCACAACTCACCGCCGACATCGTGTTTGTTGTTCTTGTTGTAATCTGATTGTTTAACCGGGGAAGCGGGAATAGCTTGATCTATGCGTTGCTGTCGAGGTTCGCCGCTTCCACTACACTTTTGCAGGTTGATGCGTTCGGTATCGAAGGGAGGGTGGTGGGGTGATATTACACTGCGGTCGAGGCGGTCAGCGGATCAAGGGGGGCCGAGATGCGGGCAAGCTTGTGCCCTATGCATGTTGCAGGCAGATGCTGGAGACATGGACGATGGGCGGATGGTCGATGGTTGAGGCCGTCACGATGGGTTGGAGCAGTAAGCACCGAACAAACGTCTACCACACAGTGAGTTTGCTCTGGTGTGTGTTTCTCTTAGCGCGACTCCCACATGACGCGTCGAATAATGTCACGTGATTATTTTCTACTTGGGGAACACATTCAGATTGATGGTTCTATTCCGCCCTCAGCGGCTTTGCGCGATGTGGTTCGTTGAGACTTCGGTTACTTCTTCATGTCGGAGAGACGAGAAATGGGGGAGGTCGCGCATCGCAAGGTTACCATCAGGGAGCAAGGAGAACAGAAAGGGCATTCGGGAGGAAGCCTTGAAGCTATCCCATCGGAAGGAAAAGAATTCACCATGGTGAGTAGATGGTCTTGCCGCCGTGGCTGTCCGCCTCTTTCTGTCGTGGGCGACGTCGTGGCTTGGATATCTGACACCGGCCCTGACTTGTAACGAACAGGCCGCTCCTCAGATCTCCACCACAACCGAGACGCCGGTGCAGACTCTCGAGCGCATCGGTGCTCACTCGCATGTGCGAGGGTGAGTCCAAAGCTCGCTCTTTTATGCCAGAGGACAGAAGACTGACGCATCTGACCGGACGCGTTTGATGTTCTTGCCTGCAGGCTCGGGCTCGATGACCATCTCGAGCCGCGCGCTAACTCGCAAGGCATGGTCGGCCAACGCTCGGCGCGCAAGGCAGCAGGCGTAATCGTGCGGATGGTCCAAGAGGGAAAGATCGCAGGCCGCGCCATCCTTATCGCCGGCCCGCCGTCAACGGGTAAGACGGCAATCGCGATGGCCATGGCGCAGACGCTTGGTGGAGCAGCGGCGCAAGGATGCGAACAGCAGCATGACATCCCATTCGTCACGCTCAGTGCTAGTGAAGTGTTCAGCCTTGAGATGAGCAAAACCGAGGCGCTCATGCAGGCTTTCCGAAGGGCGATCGGTGTCCGGATCAAGGAGGAGGCAGAGATCGTCGAAGGTGAAGTCGTCGAGATTCAGATCAACCGGAGTTTGACGGGGGTGCGTGTATCTCCATCTTCTTCCTTCTGGCTACGCCACGTGATGCTAACATGACATATGCACCTGTATATATGCTGATGCAGGCCACCAAGACGGGGAAACTGACTATCAAAACGACGGACATGGAAACGATCTACGACCTGGGTAACAAGATGATCGACTCTTTGCAAAAGCAAAAGGTGCTAGCAGGAGACGTTATCACGGTCGACAAGTCCAGTGGGCGCATTACCAAGATGGGGAGGAGCTACACACGAGCGCGCGACTACGACGCCATGGGCAGTGATGTGAGTTACCTCGAGCAATATGAGGCACGTTCGCTCCCGTGGCATCTGAACATGGATATTGTTATGTGCAGACAAAATTCGTACCATGCCCAGAGGGTGAATTACAACGGCGAAAAGAAGTGACGCACACAGTGTCCCTGCACGAGATCGATGTCATCAATTCTCGCACGCAAGGCTTTCTCGCACTCTTTGCCGGCGACACGGGCGAGATCAAGCCAGAGCTGCGGGACCAGATCAACAACAAAGTCGGCGAGTGGCGCGAGGAGGGCAAAGCGGACATAGTTCCGGGAGTGCTGTTCATCGACGAGATCCACATGCTGGACATTGAGTGCTTCAGCTTCCTCAACCGTGCGCTTGAGAGCGAACTCGCGCCGCTCGTCGTCATGGCGAGCAACAGGGGGATCACGCGCGTGCGCGGCACTCGCTTCCGCAGTCCCCACGGGCTGCCCATTGACCTGCTGGATCGGCTACTAATCATCAGCACTAAGCCCTACGAGCTCGACGACATCAAGCAGATCCTCGCTATCCGTGCTCAGGAGGAGGAGGTCACCTTCACCCTAGACGCCATGGACGTCCTCGCGCGCATCGGACAAGAGACTTCGCTGCGCTACGCCATCAACCTCATTACCACTGCCAGCCTTGTTGCCAAGCGGCGGAAAGCGAGTGAGATCGACGTCGTTGATGTCCGGCGAGTGTATGGTAAGTCGTACACATGAAAGGGGGCACGCAATGTGGAAGTCGATAGTGGGACTGACTCTTTCACTCCCCAGGTCTCTTCTTCGACGAAAAGCGATCTGTGCAGTACCTTCAAGAGCACGCAAGAGAATTCATGCTCGAGTCGGAAGACTTCTCCACCATCAGCGACGGTCTTCCAGGAATAGCCCCGCTCAACGGCGCTCTGCAGGCTTAGCGCAAACCAAATCAAAAGACAAGAACCGAGATGGACAGCGGTCCCCATTGCACATTGTATTCTTAGGTGTTATGTTAAATCAAGTACAACTTTGTCGCCCATTTACTCATAGCACTCACAAGCGCATAGCACTCGCGCTTGGACCTGGCGAATTGGGCTTGATAGTCTGGGGCCTTGCCTTTGCGAATGCCGGCTCCCCTGCAAAGCAGAGGAGTCCAGCACCCACAGCTCATCTCATCATATCGCTGACGGGTGCTACCCGCAGCCATGGCGAGACGAGCTACAGAGAAAGCATGCGTGAGCGTTCCTCGCCTCTAAATGGTCCCTTCTTTCGATGTTATGTGGTATGAAGGCCTCGCATAAAATCGTAAAGCACAGCTCGGCGGCCAATCAACCAGAGCAAAAGAGGTGGTTGTCATGCTCTGAGCACCGAGCTGCGAAATCAATTTGCGGGAGCCGCCATACGACTTCGCATGAATTGTCCGCCGCATTCTCAATGGGCAGGCCTCGTCTTCGTCGATCATCAAAGGTGCCGATCGAGGCCAGCCGAAATCCCGATGGGCGTGGTGAAGCATTTATCTTCCTCTACTCTTCAACGCCAAGTATCGTGGGAGGAAGAAAGCGGTACGTGCGCCAAATTGAGAGGGTCATCCTGCGAACTCCTCAGATAGAGGAACACGTTGGCCACAACTGACATATTTTGACCAACTAGCCCGACGAGCAAAGCTTGCTCGCGGTCATAGAAAGGTGAGGCCAGAATAGTGCCACATCGAGCCGAACCTTGCCCTCTCGCGTTCGGCTGTATGTTCGCTCAGACTTAATGGATGATTTCCGTGTGGGCGCGCAAGTGAATATGCAGCACAGATTAGCCAAATCCCAGTCGAGCGCAGACTTGCATCGATCTGCCCTACAGTATTGATGCCCGCGCCGTGGATGATGGGGCGCGTGCTCTCAAAAAGAGGGTGAGCTTTCGTCAAACGTTGTGAGCGGCGAAACATTCACAGATGTGAGCAAAAGTCGTCAGACGGAAGTTGCTGAGCATTCTCATACACAATACAGCGTCAGGCGACGTGTGCAGCCTCCTTCTCAATCGCGGCCTTGAGAGCTGCCGCCTCGCTTGCGCTCTTGGCCTTCACTCTGAAATTGACCATCTCAGAGGCTTCAAAGCCCATAAAAACGATTTGTGTCTTGTCCTGCCGAGCTGTGAGGCCTTTGACGAGGTTGAAATTCTGAAAGGAAGCTATATTGAGTCCTGCTCGATATGAATTTTCTCAGTTCCATAGGCCATTACTCACGATCAAGACGTTGCCATTGCCTTCAGAGCGCATGAGCATACGCCGCTTGTCAGAAGACTTTTTCTTCTTCAGACGAAGCATGCCAACGCCCACGTCCTTCCAAGCAGCTCCGTCCTTTCGCCAGGCTTTGACTCGGACCTCGTGTTGTGTGTCTTCGTCTTCCTCACCCTCTCCAGGCCCCTTGTCGCGCGAGGTGATCTCTCCGTCCTCCGTACCTTCAGATGCAGATGACTCGCTGGAAGGCTGTGGCGGAGCCGAGGGTTTAGAAGGCGAGAACTTGATTGCAGTTGGCGACGAGGTCGGCAGCGATAGAATCGTTGGAGAAGGAGCAGCTGATCCGCTCGTGCTGCTGCCTGATGCCTGTGACGGGAACGAAAATGGCGTCTGTGTGGCGGCAGCTGAGCCTGCTGGCTCATCATTGAACTTGAAAGCCGGCAGGTCCTTCGGCAAAGTCGACAAAGCCGTATCTCGCGCTGCCCTTTCAGCAGCAGAGAGCATCCTCTCGTTCACACGCGAAGGCAGTGCAAAGTCGAAGATCGGCAGTGCTGACGGCGGCTCGCCCAGTGCTACGTCTCGCGATGTCTGGGGTAATGCAACTAGAGCAGGAGCAGATATCTTCGGTGTGGCGGCTGCGGTGAGAGTAAAAGGGGGCGCTGACACGGGTGTAGTTGATGCTGCGGCAGGGGTCGGAGTGCCTTGGCACTTGGTGGCTGGCGTTGTGAAAGGAAATATTCCAGACTCTGCTGCCGAACGCGTAGAAACAGGCTTCGAGGGCGTAGTTTGTGCACTTGAGATGGACGTCCTGTCCTCTCGGTCTGATCCTGGTGAATCAGGAGCCGCCGAGACAGCCGTAGCAAGAGGGCTAGGTTTCTTAGGAATGCTGGCTGCAAGTTGTGCCGGTAGCTGGAAGGAGAACGGGGACGATGGAGCCGCCAAATTCCCATTGCTTGATGGCGCTAGAATAAGCTTACTGGGCAGGGCAGCCGCGGGCTTGTCGCTAGAAGTTTTTGCTGCTTGCTTTGCCTTCATCTGTTCTCGCTCTTCTTCCACCGCCTTTGTCTTTGCACTCGCTTTTGCCTTCTCCTGCTCTTTCTCCTTCTCTTGCAGCGCCTGCGTCCGTCTCTTGGCTTCCTCTGTTGCGGCCTTTGACTTTTCCGCTTTGTCCGGCACAGCCGCTCCTCTGCTGAAGAGGTCATTCTCCTGCAGCGGCTGATCCCTTGACGCCACCGTTAAGGGTAGCGTATTCGAAGCGTCGCCTGAAGCAGCATCCGATGCAGCTGCGGACGAGCGCAGTCTCTTGTTGTTGCGTGGACTCGGCGCAGACTTCTCGATGAGATCCAACACGCTCTCCTTCTTGCTGGCCTCCTCTGCCGCTTTGCGCTTCGCATTAGCCACAGCTTGAGCACGCGACTTGGCCATGCGCTCGCTGATGCTACCGCGATCCCGTGCACGCGCCAATGATCCTGGCGTGCGCGGGGCGGAGGCGACCGAATTGGAGGATGAAGAGGAAGGGAGACGTGCGGATACAGAAGCGTTTTGGTAGGGGTTGATCACCTCCAGTCGAGGCTGAGGGCGAGGGGATGGCTCCAGCGGGTGCTCTTGCAAGATGCCAAGGAGTGCGGAAGCGGTCGCACTTCGTGTCATAGTAGGCTGCGCGGAGCCATAAGCAGCAGCTGTTGGCGAAGCACCCTGAGTTGTGACCTGCTGATTTTGCTTCTGCTGGAGATACTGTGGCTGTGACCGACTTGGAGTCATTGGCACGGGCGAGGCAGGCTGCGGAAAAGAGGCGGGTTGGGAAGTTAGCGCATTGTTGGTGAATGGCGTCGAGGATGAAGCAAGCGAAGTAGGAGGCGATGCATTGTCACCAGCTTCTTGGTCCCGCTGCGCGCGTGTATCTCGCATCTCCGAATCCATCGGCGGCTCCGCGCCCGGCTCTTCCCTCCTAACCCTTTTGCTGCCAAATCCAGCCGATGACACGACGAATGAAGGCAACTCGAGCGTTTGCGCCGGCGGCGCTTGTCGCATTCGATTGGCGGTCCGTGGCGAGGCCGCGACGCTCAGCCCTGGGCCGAGGTAGATGGTTCGCCTCGTTCGCCGCGCAGCTGGACTGACACTAGCCGGTGGGGAGCGGATGACGGGCGCCAGAACGGTGGCAGCAGATGCCGCCTGTGTCTTTTTGGCAACGTGATACGGCGACAAGAATGATCGAGATGGGCGCAACTGCGGTGTGGGGCGACCGCCAACCTCGACATCGTACAAACCGGCACGCATAGAAGGTGAAGAGCCAATCGACTCGGACCGGCGAGGCGAGACGCCCAAACCTGTTCGCGAAGGTCCCGCGACGCCTAGCAGGCCACCGCTGTTCGCATTGGAAGCGATACTGGCTGTTATGTCGTGACCTGCAGCAATCTCTCCAAACTCGCTCTCCAAGTCGCGTCCGGCAGAGGCGCACTCTTCGATGAGTTTCATGCAGCCCGCCAGCTCCAGCTCGGTCAGCGGCTCTGCATCTCCGGAAGATGATGCGCCGCTCTTCTCGGTGAAGAATTTGGACAACAGAGAATAGTTACGCTGTGGAGAGTAGTCTGGAACACCTTCGTTATGACCTGACCCCTGCATAGTCCGAGCGGTTGGGGTTTGCATCGTGGCGGGTGATGCGATGCCTTCCGGTCCCTGGTCCGTGGACTGCATTGAATCCGCATCTTCTTCCGCCATTCTTTGCGTCGCTTCAACCCCCCCTACAGAGGGCTGCTGGCTTGAGACGAAGAGGCCCTGTGCAGCGTTCATGCGGCTGTACTTTGCAAAGCCGCTTGATGTTGGGCCGGCATGGCGTGGAAGTGAAGGCTGCGAAAGTACGCCTCTCAACCTGTTGCCGCTCCGTGTTCCTAGAGCGGCAGCTACCGAGATCTTGTCGGCCTGAAGTTGCGAGGCCCTTTCTGAGTCCTGAACGCCATTCAGCCGACGAGTGAGTGGCGAAGCGGTCGCTGCTCGGCGCTCCGCGTCTACATTTGGATTGAGATCGGGGCCAAACGCTGCTGAGCGTTCTTTGCGTGCAGATCGATAAGGAGAAATGAGAGAAAGGAAAGATTGCAGCATTCCAGGTGACTGTAATGATAAATTATAGTCAGCGACACAGAAGAGCTTCGAGGTTTCGAGCAGGCTGGACACACTTTTGCAGCTTCTTGTGCAAGGTGCACGTCTTCTTCTCCAGCCGCCTTTGCCTTGCTTCTTCCAGCGGCATCTTGCCCCCTTGCGGGCCTGCGGATGTCAAGCTTACGTGCTGCAGACAACTGGCCAGCTTGATATGCTAAAGAAGGGCTCAACGCAGGGGCCCCAAAGGGACTATTGGCGGACCCTCCGTGCTCATGTGTCGCTCCTGGTCCGAGTCGTGATGAGGAACTCGCGTGCGGCCTCGAATATGGTGATGCCCTGACTCTCGGCGTGCGAGGCGACCTGCCTACGCGTACGTTCACGCCTGACTGCTGCGTTCTTCCAAAAGAGTCAACCATGCCGAACGAATCGTCTCCTTTTGCAGGAGGCAGGGTCGGCGAGGAGGAGAGCTGGGTCGTGCTTCGCAGGCCCGGCTGTCGGCTTGGGCCTGCCTCTTGGAAATACTCGTGGGCGTCCATGCTGCGTGTTGTTTCTCCTCACCTCTTTAGGATCACGGCAGCGAAGTTACGCCCTCTCTCTGGCCTTCAGCTTTTGCGATGTTTATGAGTGAAAACAAGAAGACGGAGGCATGCGGCAACTGTCAAGTGCACTTGGTAGGAAGGTCAAGTTGTCGTGGTTGGAGCGTTTTTCAGTTTCCGCCATGTGTGATGTTGAGCCTCTGGCGCTCGTTGTTCTCTCTGCCTCATCTCTCTTGCCCTCTGCTTCCGTCCTGGCATGATCCCATTCCGATTGAATCCAACGTTGACAATAGATACAGTCGGTCCTACCTTCATCAATTCCCACTCGCCAAAGCACATGTCAGCAGCGAGACAAGCAGTCCCATAACTGCAGCACTGTTGCATCCGTATAGCGCCAGCAGGGGACCGGTCCAGTCTGGTGGGAGGACACAAAAAGACACAATGCGTGAGTGTCCCAGTGGTTTGCGCGCTTTGTGATCTATCTCGCATCGTCATGCCAGCACAAAGGGTGGGCGGGCAAGACCCTTATTCAGCTGGAGGCTTCATGAGGAAGGCCAGGTGCTCGGGAGGAGGAACGGAGGGTCAATTCCGGGCGTTCAGGTGTGGTCCATCCAGCAACTGTAACGGCGTACTTGAGCTGCTGAGGCTGGCTCTTTGTACTGCTTGCATCGTAGCACTCTTTTTGCTTGGGATGACTCTAAGCCAGAGCGTTGCTGGCTAGCTTTACTGCGTCGGATGCGCATTCGAGCTGACAATCGCTGCCTTCTTCCGAATATCGATGCTGCATCCTCTATGCATAACTGCGACAGCTGTCAAGGATATCAACACTCCATACCCGCTGATCGACTCAGACCCGCACTTCCGGCGGGTCATCAAGTACTTCCGGCCAAGCGATTATGCAGCGTGGGCAGGATCAGCGGCCGCCTTTCCCGGCGGTCTCTACCTGATGGGTGAGCGCTCTCCGTATTGGTCTTTTTGAACCCGGAGTTGAAGATATTGAGCTGCTTGGCATATGTTGCTATTAAACAGAATTGTTCGACACCACAAGACCAAAGAAAGGGCTAGGGCCTGCGCTCCGGCTGAGCACTTTCCTCGGAGCAGCAGGCGGCTTCCTTCTCGCATATCAGCGCAGCTCTTGTGAGTTACGAGCCATGCTTAACCTTCGTTCCTTCCGCAAGCATCATCGCTTACACACGCGTGGCCCCTTTTCCATGCCTGCTGCATCTCGCAGTCCGCCTCTGGGGCTGGTCTGAAAATGAGATCGAGCAGTCGCTTGCCTCCAAAGAGCTCGAAGTGGCCAAAGCCGGCGGTCCCCTGCCAGCAGGCTACGGCCAGTCGGACCTGAGCGACTACATTCAAGGTGTCGCACACAGGAACAGTGCCTTCTCCCAGCTCAAGTTCAGCGCAATGCCCTGGTTCAACTTTTCCAACCATAAGCATCATGGTCCCAGCACCGCTGACTTTAGCATGGCCCGGGAAGGCGAGGGGAAGGAGGACGCATAGTCCATGGATGATGATGAGTAGAGTGGTCGCCATGGCGCAGGAAGCACTCAGAGATATGTACACATCACTTTCAATGCACTCTGCATTTGAGATGATTGCACGCAAAACACTCAGGCTTCCGAACACTAAGTCGGATGCATGATTAATGCCAACTGTCAGGGGGTTGCTCTCGTCGAGCACGCTGAACATCCCCTTTCCAAAGTTGTACCCGCCGCGAGATCACTCGGCCGAGGTTCCTTGATGTTTCGAAAAATTCTAATATATGCGTGGACTGCGATGGGCGTCAAGCACAACCCTGAGCGCGTTAAAGGTGCACTTGGGTTGTTTTTCCTTGTTCGTGCACCTCGCCAACGGCATCTAGGGCACTGACAACGTCCTCAATGTGTTGATGCATATCGTACCGATTCATCTCGTCGACCGTCAGCTTGCCCTCCGGCGCTGCCAGCCGCGCGTCGTGCGAGCTCAACCTGAAGAAACCGATGCGTTCGTTAATGTTCATCGTCGCCTTGAGCGATGCGAGCTGCACGCGCGAGCCCCTGGGGCTGCGGATAGTCTCGTAAACCTGCAGGCTGGCCTGCACGTCGCTCGTGAAGCGCCCATCGTACTTTCGCTGAAGATGATCCTGAGCGCAGCGGCGTCTTCGAGCGCCTGCACGGCGCCCTGCGATTGATTTGGCATGAGCGGCTTCACCGGGTCGCCGAGCAGGCAAGCTCTGCCGTGTTGCCAGTGCGAGTACGGCTCGTGGATGTACAGACCCCATGGCTTGCGCTCAATCGTGTGTTGAATCAGTTGCCGGCAACGCGGATCCAGCTGCGAGTATAAGCCCGGTATGCACTCCTCCACTGTCGCATCGGCCCAGCTGAAGCCTTCCGCATGGTGGTTGGTCAGCTCCGACGGCATGAAGAGGTACAAGGATATGACATCGCCTCCTGTGCATGGGCTGAGCACTACCTTGTAAGTAGTGTCAAGTCCCTCCTTTGGATTAGGGTAGCGGCCTCAAAATTGGATGCCGGGGAAGTTCGCAAAGTCCAGTCCGAACTGCTCAGCTTCCTGCTTGGTGAAATTGCACCGGTAGCAACTCTGCGCTGCTGACCGCTTGATAACTTGCATGCCGATCTGTTCACGGACGACTGAGTGAATGCCATCAGCGCCGACAATGAGGTCGGTTCGCCTGAAAGTCGCACCATTCTGGAACGTTACGGTGCTGTATTCCGAGTCTGCGGGCTCGGCGATATGGTCAACGGCAATCTTGCATGGGGCCATTGACCTTCTGGAGAGGCTGCTGCTTCAAGTAAAATGCGGTGTTGATCTCGTCTGTGGAACCTGCAAATTGTGAAGAGTCCGCGGAGGAGATTTAACGACAATTGTCAAACATTCCCGGGTGTGCACTCCCAAGGAAGCCCCACTCGGCCTCGTTACCGCTGAGATTGTACTCGTTAAGTACTTCACCTGTATTCCAGTCGTGCATGATGAGCTTCATCAGCGTGACCCGTCGGCCGGCTATGCAATCGACGCCCCACTCGCGAGGCCATCGCACTCCGTTTGCGGCGCACGAGATGGGCGGCCGATTTTGACGTCGAAGCCTCTTCGTTCGAAATCGACACGTTGTGACCGGGACGGTGCAAGGCTATGCCAGCTGCTAGGTCGCCGATGCCCCTGCCGATGATACACACGGTCAAAGGCTGGAAGCTTGAGGTGCTGTTGCTCGCGTAGGCGCAGCGGAGGTTCCCATATTGCGTGTCAGCTTTGAAAGTGTTGCACAGAACACGGTACCTTAGCAGAGTGTCAGTGAAATTGGTACCTGTAGGTTAAGTACGAGAACGAGCTCAAGTGCAGATCAGTCTCTGTTTTAATACGCAGCGTGTATCTCTATGCCATCATAAGAAAGGCGAGGCCGGGAGTTCTAGGTACATAGATTTCGAGATCTCCAACAATGGCCTAACCTAGTCGGTGTCACCCAGCTGGCTAACACCTACGCAATTACTCCCAAACCGCAGGCCGTGTTTCGGAATATGTGGCGCTCGGCAGCGAGAGATCGGTGAGAGAGAGGGGTCGACGAGATCAGAGCAGTGACGGAGAAATGCGTTTGTAATGTACTGATCTCCTTGTGTTGTTGCTGTGATCTCGCGCGTCGCTCATCCGGAACGTCCGATTATCCGGAATAAACGCCTGGCATAGCAGCCCACATGCCCTTCATATCTAATGCGTTGGCGCGGGTGCGCGGCTGCAGCGGAGATGAGATGCGAATATCTCAGTCGAAGTCTAGTCACAAGTTGGCTATGATAAATGCACACGTCACAGAATACAGGCCCACAGAGACAAACTCGCGAGCGACTGGGCGGGAACGTGTCTTATATTCGCGATCAAACGTGTATATCATGCTCCCTCCATACAAGTACACTAGATACCTTTTCTTGGACCGCTCTACTTTTTGCCCTTCTCTCCATGCACTGCATCCGCCGCTGCGGCGCAGAGCGGCCTCTCGATGTCGCTGAAGCCGAGCAGCTTGCTTCCCGGCACGAGCCTTGCTTTCGGGTTCAACGCTAGGCCGAACCCAGGGCCGGCCTCGTCGAGCTGCTCAGCACTGATGCGTCCATTCACGGGCATGACCTCCTTGATGAACAGGTCGCCGAACACGTTCGTCGCCGTCTCGCCTTTTGGGTCGTTGCTGATGATCTCGCAGAATTGCGAGTGCGGCTGGCTCATCACAAAATGGTACGAGTAATTGCCGCTGCCGTGCGGTACGACGGGGATGTCGTACGCGCCGGCCATGGCGGCTATCTTGAGGATGGCCGTAATTCCGCCGCACCACATGACTGGCCAGCCACAATTGCGCGAGGCGTCAGCATGAGCTGGAATACCACGTGTGCGCTGCTGGTCTGGCTGCAGATACTCACCATCTGCTTGGATGATGTCAACCGCTCGGCTCTCGATGAGATACCGCTGCCCGTACTCGGTAAATTCATGTTCGCCTGTTGTCCAGCGCATCCACGGGCAGCGCTCCTTCAGAATCTTGTGTCCTGCATGGTCGTCCGGATGCAGTACCTCTTCGAGCCAGTAAGGATTTACTCCCGCGTCGCGCAGCGCGTTGGCGAGCTCTACGGCATAGTGCAAATCCAAGCTCATGTAGCAGTCGACCATCAGTGGAAAGTCGTGTCCGACGCGCTCCCGGCATTCTTTGAGGTAGGAAACGTTCTTGCGCAGGCCTTCGAAGCCGTCGCTTGGCGGGTAGGGCAGAGGGACCTTGCCGCCCATGAAACCTTGCTCTTTGGCCTTTTCCGGCTTGGGTCCTGTCAAGTAGAGTGGGATGAATTGTTTGGTTTGCCCGCCGATCATACGATAGACCGGCTCATTGCGAAGCTTTCCAAGCAGGTCCCAGATAGCCAGGTCAACGACCGAGACGGTCATGATCGGCAGGCCTTTGCGTCCATAGAACATGCTGTGGAACCATGTCCAATCTTAGTGAGCATATGATTCACGAGTCAAAGCGCTCAACTGCACTCACGAGGCCTTGTACATTTGCTCGTAGATGCAGTTGGTATCGCGTGGATCACGTCCGATCAGGAAGCGCTTGAAGTGGTTCTCTATGAGCCAGCAGGCAGGCGGGCCACCAAAGCCAGCGCCAATTCCTTGATTGCCCTCCGAGTCGGTGATCTACAGGCCGGGAAAGGGGGGAATCGTCATGGGAAAGGGATATAAAAAACGGGTGAGATAAAGGCACTTTGGGACAGTAGAAGAGACAGACGCACAACAACGACGAGACTGCCCAGCACGCCGATGCCCCACGTTGTTCGTGAATGACGGTACTCTTCAAAGCGAGACACTGTCGAGGCGCGAATGCAAGAAAGTGTTAGAGTCTGCTCGAGCATGGGGCGCTAGTCGTGCGTTCTGAGAGCAGCCAAAGGAACTCACTTGGGTTGCTGTCGAAAGCAACTCCTGGTCAGTCTTGCGCATGAGGACGTGGAGAGAAGTGTTCAAGACGAAACAACCTACGAGATGGGTGTGTCAATGATCCAGTGGCCCTTTTCTTGACGATGGTAGTCTCCTCCTGTGCGATTCCCCAAAATGGGCGGCGAAAAGTAGCGCAAGGCAAGGACGGTAAGAACGCAGGTCGGCTCTCGAGGAAGTTGTCGTCTCATTGACAAGAAACGCACCTGATCCCTCTGTAGAGGGAACGAATGTCTCCACCGAGACAATCTTGGGAAAGGGTCGGATGGGCATAATGAGCAGCTAGGAATGTAATTGCTCACGTTCTATGCCTTTGGGTGGAGGCAGGCCTATATGTAGAGGAAGCGAAAGTGAAGGAAAGTGAGGTCTGCGTTGCAGGTGCACAATCTGAACCAGCACTTCCTTATATACGGCGACCATAATCTCGCGATGGCGGATCGCCGAAGTAGGAGGAATCAAAACATGATGTTCACTCGATCACTCGTCAGAAGGCCAGCTGACAGGAGAGAGCAGTAGGGGACGGCTCTTTATGCTGTTGCCCAGCAGAACGCCAGGCTTTCATTTGCCGTGGGGGAGAAGGCGTGGGGGGACCCCCAGATCCACTCCATCTTCGAAAGGATGACTCTTCCCCCCCGCTTGTGTGGCGGAGTAGTAATCTCACCCATTCTGCAGAGGGCTTCTAACTTCTACGCAATCCCGCTCATCGCCCCTCAGGTGGGTCAGGCTCGCTGAAGAGATTTCCAGGTTGGTGATTGTTGGTGGACAGCTCGCTCAGGTTCCAGCCACGAACATACGTAAGTGGCCCGAGTGGCATAGCGAGCGCTGCACATGCTCTCGGTGCCGTCGTGAGGTGGTTGGTCTGCAGCGTTTGCCACACATCGGAATTGCAGATGTACGTAAATGGATTTCGGACCTGCTGGAATTATACATAAGGTGCCAGCGCTCGCGACCGTCAGACTGGCTCATTCACCCCCCACACCACCCACGAACTGCATCTCGGCAACCAGTGCACAGCAACCAACTTCTGCTATTCCAGGAGTGGCATCGGCGCGAGCGTTCGTCCTTTCTCCGTTTGGCGCCAAAGCGTAAAGCACAACTGTAACTGCGCCATGTCGACGCTGTCGAACCCAGGAATAGCCGGCCGCGACCTGCTTGTCGGGCGGACGCTCGCATGCACGGGCGCCTCACGGGGCATAGGCCGTGCGATCGTGCTCGCGGCCGCGGCGCAAGGCGCGACCGGTATTTGCATGCACTACCTCGGCGACGAGGAGACAGAGCGGGAAGCGTCGGCACTCCAGCAGGAAATCGAAGGCAGGTGGGGAGACGGAGGGAGCGAGGGGCGAACGGGGGAAGCAGGAACGAAGGTTGTGCTTGTCAAAGGAGACATTGGTCTTGAAGAGACAGGTCAAGCTGTGAGTGCCGTGGACTCTCGAGTGGGACGGACCTGGGTCAGTGGCTGACTGACAATTGCGGCGATGACCACCGCTACAGATCATCGACACTGCGATCCAGCGCTTTGGGCGGCTAGATGTCTTCGTATCCAACGCGGGCATTTGCCAGTTCTCCAAGTTCCTCGACCTGACCCCAGAACTGTGGCACAAGACACAGCAGGTCAATCTAAACGGCGCGTTCTACGCTCTCTCGGCGGCCGCGCGCGCCATGTCGGCGCAGGCGCCACACCCGCAGTCAGGCACGCGTGGCTGTATCGTCGCCGTCTCTTCCATCTCGGCGCTCGTCGGCGGCGCAGAGCAGTGCCACTACACGCCAACGAAGGCAGCGCTCAAGAGCTTGATCGAGAGCATGGCATGCAGCTTGGGCCCGCTCGGGATCAGGTGCAACTGCGTCCTGCCGGGAACAATCCGAACGGCCATCAATGAGGAGGACTTGAGCAATGACGGAAAAAGGGAGTACATGGAGAAGAGGACGCCGCTAGGAAGGCTGGGAAATCCTGGGTGAGTGTGAGGAGCCCGATGCTGCACCTATAAGGCTGACTGATCTGTCACATCCGTTCGCATGTATTCACATGTTGTGCTTAGGGACATCGCTGGCGCGACCATTTTTCTGGCGTCGGACCTGAGCCGGTATATGCAAGGATCCAGTGTGCTTGTCGATGGAGGCATGTTTGTCAACTTGCAATGATAGGAACCCTACAAGGCATATTATTTCTCAATCTGACTCAAAGAGAAGACTAGCAAGAGCAAGAGAAAGAGCATTGACACAAACAATTGCATTCCTGGTCAGCCTCGAAAATGAGGAATAAGAGGCCACAGGCTCTTCCGGTTATGACCTGTGAGGTAGATATACACCAAAGAGGCCACGCGAGAGGCCTCTGTGCGCGAATCCGACGTTCATGTTGCCGCATGCAGCATGTCTGCACCCTAAAGGCAACGTAGCGCGCTCCTTCGGCGCCTGAATACCACTAAAGCCTCATCCTTACTACGCTTCTTCCATCGGCGCATTGATGATCCCCTGTTGTATGGCGCCAAAATGTTCCCGCCGAAAAGCCAAGGTCCTGGCGCTCAAGCGCCCAAGCCGTGACGGTCTTTGGGGATTGTGCAGTACTGCAGACAAGTTATCCGCTTGCGAGTGGCCATGGAGTGCGTTGTGAATGGGTTGCATCAAGAGAACAACAGAGATACAAAAGATGTGTTCTGGACTTGGCGGCGCTTCTTGCTGGCCGGCAAGGGTATCGATCGTAATTTATGTGTTGTGTTGTGTTCGACACCTTTTGGTACAATGTCGCACCTCTTGATGCACTACGCTACTGCAGAGCACCACCAGAGAGCCCATCGATTGCAGAGATGCGATCCTGCGTCGATCGTTCGAACGAGATCAAGCCGAAAGTTGGTTCCAGGCACAGGCATGATTCGCATACGTAGATGCCGTGGATATTTACCTACATTCACATGACATTGGTTCTCGCGAAGTGGGTTTAAGGCAAGCATCGCCCGCAACGTAGAAAATGTCGCCTGCGCGACGCTGAGGCGTTTCCCGAAGTTCGAAACTAGATGGTTATGACGCTGCTGGCTACGTAGGACCTCTCAGCCCTTGGGGCTTTGCGAAAGGGGCAGCGGCGTGGGATCGTGGGATACAAAGCACTTGGGTGATTCTGAACGGTCCGCTGGCCACCCAGGCCATGCTCAGATTCAGGGAGTGAAGCCGCGCCTAGACCTCTCGTGGTTCGCATGACACGGCGACACTCGATGACACCATAGAGAAGGCGATGAAGATGAGGTGAATTCGGTCTGTCAGGCTGTTTGTCCTACATACAAGGGAGGACCTTCGCGGCCCCAATGGCATTTGTCTAACCACGTGAAAAGGCGCAAGGTTGTAAGAGCGGGGGCAAGAGTGCCGGCGGGCGGCACGACGGGCATAGAGCCTACGCAGGCACAGGCAAAAAGGGTTTTTTGAAGTGTATACATAGACGCGTCTTGCTCTGCGGGAGTAGTGGGCTGAGGCCTTGCAGGGCCGTGCGCACAAATTTCCGGCATTACAGGACGAACATGAAACATCACTGCAGCTTCATCGTTCTGCCTAACGCACCTATGCAGCACGACTATGAAGAGTACAATGCTGGACAGAGTCAAGTTTACTAGACACTGGCGGCTGGGGGTAATGAGTGGCAGAGAAAGGTGGATGCTTGCGTGGTGTGCGCATGTTCCTGTTTTTGTGTGGTCCTAGGGTTTTTTTTAGACCGCGTGCGTGGATGTTGGGATTCAGCCAACCAAGAGAGAGAAGAGGATGAGGACCTTCGCGGTCGTGACCGTCTTCGGTGTGCTCGCTCACTTTTGCAGAAATTCAAATGAGCATAGATTTCTTGACCATCAACATCTGCAAGCTCCCATCATATTGGTGCTACTGCTGGGTCGCGCCATCGCCGTCACCGTTGACGCATAGTTCTCGCATAGTTATTCTTATAAAGGCCAGCGCGGTGCTCATCACCCATCGCCCTTTTTTGCGGATCCCCCATCGCGCTCATTCTTGTCAATTTGGGCTGCCAGGTGCTGTACCGGGGTATTCTTTGCGCTTCCATTCTTGTGAGTCGGATCCTTCACGGGCGAGGGATCCAATCCTGGTATCGCTAACCTTCTCAACGCTTTGCACAGTTGACCGCTCCGACACCATTTTGGATCCTATCACATCATGGCCGACTCGGAGGGCCCAAACTGCTACGGCCCGCGAGTGGACGCCTTTGAGGGCTCGCTTGGCCTGCGCATCGGTGCCATCTTCGTCATCCTCGCAACCTCGCTCTTCACGACGCTCTTCCCTGTCGTGACAAGGAGGGTGCCGCGATGCAGTGTACCTCGACCCGTGTTTGACTTTGCCAAGTATTTCGGAAGCGGTGTCATCATCGCTACTGCATTCATGCACCTCTTGAGTCCAGGTGTCGAGGTGCGCCCCTCTTTCTTGCACATGATGGAAAGAAAAGGCACTGAAACTATGCATTGTTTCCTTTCTCTTGACACAGGAACTCCATTCCGAATGCCTTTCCCCGGCGTTTCAGAACTACGACTTTGCATTCGCATTCGCCATGATCAGCATGTTCATGGTCTTCATCGTCGAGCTCATCGCCTTCCGCGTCGGCTCGAGCTTCGCGCAATCGCTCGCATACGACCCGCACAAGGGCGGGCACCACCACGCCGCCGAGCATTCCACCGTCATGGCGTCGACGCCAGCATCCACAACTGTCGCCAGCGCTCCTACTACCACTGTAGTCTCGACGAACAAGAGCCAGTACAAACACGAAGTCGCAGCCAACCCGCCCTCCTCGTCATCTACCGATGGGGACGATGCAATCGCAAAGGATATGTTACTCACCGCCGAGGACCCAGAGCTAGCCGTGGGCGCGGCCGTGTCACCCAGTGCGGCCGCATCGCAGATCCTTGGCGTCATGATCCTCGAATTCGGCGTCATCTTCCACAGCGTCATCATCGGTATCACGCTTGGTACAACTAGCGAGTTCACAACGCTTTTCATCGTCATCATCTTCCACCAGGTCAGTAGCCTTTTCTTGCGTAGGTAGGCAATCAGGGAAACGTGTTCCTAGCTGACCCTGTATCGGTATCTATACCTTGCAGATGTTTGAGGGCCTTGGTCTCGGCGCGCGTCTCGCCTTCCTGCCGCTACACCCAAAATCGCTTCTCCCCTTCCTCGGCGCAACCGTGTATGCATGCGTCACTCCACTTGGGCTCGCGATCGGTCTCGGCATACGGCACACGTACAACGAGGACAGTGCGACAGCCAACTACATCACTGGGACGTTTGATAGCGTCTCGGCGGGGATTCTGTTGTACACGGGCCTCGTTGAGTTGCTGGCGCACGAGTTCATCTTCAACGAGCGCATGCGTAGGGCGCCCATCGGCAATGTCCTGCTCGCTGTTGGTGAGATGCTGCTCGGAGCAGGCGTCATGGCGCTCCTGGCGCGATGGGCGTGAGCCTGCCGTGTTGATATGAGCCGAGCCGGTAATCACAGAAAACATGACATGTGGGTGGGGAGCGCTCGCTGTTTCCCCGGGCGCTGAAGCACGGTCCATCACACCATCAATCCCACAATTTCGCACCTTCACCAGTTGTGTCGCCAAGAGTCTGGTTCCATTGCACTATAGAGCTCAAATACCATTCCCCACGTCTTCATTTCACGTCCCCATTCGCCCGGCCCGAGCATGGGTCATTGGGCCATGGGGAGCCAAAAGACACTGCATGTACTCGTACATATCATGTAGGCGCAAGTACGTTGCGCATGTAAGATTTGGTTCACAGTTGGCGCAGATGACTTTGCCTTGCCGTCTTCGTGTGCTTGGACTGCAAAGTGTGTGGAGGCGAGCTTTGGCACAAGTCTCCCGTAATAGCTCTGGAAGTGCAGGGTGACCGCAATTCCGCCGGGATTTGAGGTTGATGCCTGGCAAAATTTAAGGGCATCCCCAAGTTCCCACGTCCGATATGTGCGACTGAGGAACTGAGGCACGTGTTGAAAAGGTAATAAATAATACTCTTTGCGATCTTTGGAATGATTCTGAAGTGGTGATTCGCCAATTGCTCCAGACTCTCATAAGCCAATTCATCCAGGCGTAGCACAGTGTCACCAGTACCATTGGCTATGCCGTCTCAGGAGCGGGTCGACAGCAAATCATTCAATTGCTTGCTGGTGCTCCCACGAGGCAATGGAGCATGGCGAGGATTTCGAACATCTTCCCGCAGTCGATTTAAAGTCCCCTTACTTTCGCGCTCTGCGAGGTGTGATGTTGCCAAAATCCATTGTGTGCCTGCTTGAAAACCATGTGAGATATAGCATACATTCGTTGGTCAACCGAAAGAGAGTTGTCAAATAGGCACGCCACTGGACGGAGCAGCATTTCAACTCATCGAAAGTCAAATGGGATCATGCTTCGCAGGCGGCAAAGCTTCCAATTTAGGTACGCTCACATGTGAGATAGGATATGCTACTCAAAGCATCATGTCCATGCCCATAGCAGCAACTCCTCAAGCGGCAAAGATGCGCAATTCTCACTCCTAGCCCAAATGACGGGGTTAAAGCACATACAGCAGTGTCGCTGAGGTCTTCCTTCTGGAGAAGGAGTAGCTGCTCGCAGGTAGAACGCTTTAGCAGGAATACTCGCTTCAGGTTCCCAGTAGATCTAAAGACCTAAAGACCTAAAGACTGTTGATTCTGAACTGGGGACGATACAGAGCAGAGTGCGCACTATTTGTACGGGTTCATGTTCATTGGACAACCGAAGCGGACGAAGCGTGTCCGGTCGAATGAGTCGAGCATAAAGGCACGAAAGCAGGGAGCTACGGCTGAGTATTCAGCTAAACGTCAAGAGGGCCGAGAGATGAGGACTGCATCGACCAGGCTCCAGGAATGAGGCCAAAATGTAGGAGCGGAGGCGAGGTGCAAAGAGGCATGTGTGGAGCTCCAATAGGAGAGAAGGGGAAAGAAAATCACGGAGAGGTTGACGGCAGCTGAAGCTGGACGTCTGAGAAAGGCGAAAGGCGACGGATCTGCGAAGGAGAAATTGGAAGTGAGACAAAGAAACAGAGGCTGGGACGGACAAGGAAGGTGACGAGGTGTCATGATGGTAACGCCCCATCCCATGAGGGGAACGACGTAGAAGTTACTCCAGCACTTGCTTCAGGTCTAGGCTATATTATTGAGCCTTTCATGCCGATGGTTTATATCATTTGTTGGCAGCACGCCTATACATCTCATGAGCATGTTTCTTTAAAACAGTAAATAGGAGCGCAGAAAAATGGGAAGCTCAACCTCTAAGCCGGCGCGCAAGCTGGGGTTGACAGCAACGACCACGCAGCTTCCGCGCTCGACGGCGGTACGATCTTCTCGTCCTCCTTCTACGACAGCCGCAGGAGGTGCGACTATTGCTAAAGGCGCCGGGAAAGCTTCAATTGCTGCTGTTACAGAGGCTGGAAAATATACTACCTCACCGTCTGAGCTGGCAACTGCAGTCTGCACAGCAGAGAAAACGCCGCTAGAAGGCGCTCCTCCCGTGCAAGCGGTGGCGAGCGCAGAACATGAAATTGGAAGAGGCAGTCGAGGAGCCCAGCAGCAGCAGGGCTTTGACATGCACAGCTTGGCTCGATCGAGGAGTGCTCGCGCAGCGGTACAAGGGCAGGCGAGCGAACAAAAGAACCAGGGTACGCGCTTACTCTATCGTGTTGCTGCTGGGCACGCCCCAACGCAGTCGCTGACGCTTTACACACCGGCTCTGCAGACATTCTCGAGGATGGGCGAGATCCTCAATTAATGCGGAATCTGGCATCATTAGGCCCTGTACATGTGCCGCGAAATCGCCTTAACTTCCGTCGATCGGACCAAATGCTCGGTATCCTCGCGGCGCGTCAACGCGAATCAGCTTTCGAATATCCCTTTCCTTCGAGCCCCGCCGCCGCACAACACGCCGTGGCGCCATCTTCATCGCCGTTAACATCGAGTGACCGCATGTCAACATCTACGCTTGCCTTGTTGCTGGACGCGCGCAAGGACTGCCGCAGCCGCGCAGAAGTCGAGCGCCTCGCCGTGGAGTTTGACGTGAACATAGAGCTGCTCGACAAGCTTGCGCGGCGCTTCAACACGCCGAGCTTCGGCGAGTATGTTGACAAGGAGCAGGGAAATTCTGTGCAGGCGGGAGAGCAGCGCAGTCCGCGAAGAGTGTATGCCATCTGGGAGGAAGCTGAGTTGGTGGATGCGCCAAAGCAGATTGGTGAGTGCGCTATCGTTTCGTTGAAGATGCTTACTGCACGCTGATGATCGCGGAACACAGGGGCGTGACATGGAGAAATCTATTATTGTCTGCTGTATTATATCTCCATGCTCTATCATGCGCTAACGACGCCCAAAGACCCAGTACACGTATCCACTCTCGTCCTCCCTGCCGATGCCCTTGATCTTCGGCAACTCTGTCCTTTGCAAAAGCACAACTTCCTTTTCTGCACTCTCGCTGGCTCCTGGCTCTGGATTTGCAGTATGTATATTGCTCTCGTGTGCCTGTCCGAACACGCGATCGGCAATCTGGAGGAGGTTCCACTCGCCAAAGCGACCGTTGAGGCGTATGGGACACATGATGTGCGCACGGCTGTGCGGCTGGTGCGAGAGGAAGAAGCGCAGGTTTGACAACAGCCACGCAGGGTGCTCGGGAGAGTAGATAACGTCTGCTGCCAGGATCAATGAGAATGCTGCCTGCGCATTGCTCCACCAGGAAGATTGTGAAGAGGGAGAAGGCGAGCGACGCTGTCGCTGCTGGATCACATCGTGGACGTCCCGCCAGTCGAGTACGGCGCTCCCCACGGATGCCGTTTGATGAGCATTGCAATTGAGACCGATGTTGTGCTGCAGGTTCTCGAGCACCTTTTCATGGTAGTCTGTCAAGCAAACCTCGACAGGTTGCAGTCGGGCACGCTGAGCAAGACTCGCAGCGAATAGACCCACGAGGCCTGTGCCTGATCCGAGCTCTAGTATGCGGAACGGCTTTTGCATCGAGGGTGCAGGTAGATCCAACCCGGCGAATACATCATCAGCATGCCGCGCAAACAAGTCGCACAGAATTGAGGCGCTGCCCCAAGTCTGTACCCCAACAGCGGTAGCGGCGTTCTGTTTTCGACTGCTGATGTGGCGGTTGGAGCGGGGCGTGTGGTAACCATCTGGTTCTTCCTCATCCTCCGACGCCGAGTCACGGCTTCCTGCAACACTCTCCGTAGAATCGCGTTTCGAAATTGGAAGCGGTGCATCTCGGATATTGATCTCGATGGTTGGACTGTCCAGAGGGAAACGAAAGAGACGCTCCAGTGGACCGGCCTCTGTGCACACACGCACATGCATTCGAGTGAGTCTCAAAGGCTCATGCTCCCTACTTGCAGTAATACACCTCACCAGCTAGTGCTGCCTCTGCGGCGATCACGGACGAAGCCACATCTTGAGCGGTCTGCGCCTCTCCTTCGGAAAGCCAGGTGAGATCTGAAGCGATGATCCTTAAGCACCAATCTAGCGCAAACCGCTTCTCGATCTCATCCCTGCGCGCAGCGTCGAAGGCATCTTGCAGCTGCTCGGTCGAGGAGCGCCCGGATGCTGCTTTGCCGAAGTGTTCAAGGTTGAGTGATTCGGACGGGGAAGCAGATGCGTAGAGCTTCGTAACCAATCGCAGACCTTGCTGCAACGCAGCAAATGCTGGTACACGGCGGAGAGGAGGCAAGAATGAGGTCGGATTGAAGAGGTTCTCCTGGTCTGGCATGGCCGCCTGCAACAGCGAGTCTGCCGAGCGATGCACTCTCGTTCCTGCGTCGCGATCTCCTCAGCTTTTACCTTGAGCACCCTCGATAGCCTCTTTCTTACGCGCGCAAGGACTCCTGCCTTCAGTCAGATTAGAAATTGCGTGCATCGAATATCAATAAGGAACCGTCATTTGCTGTTCATCGAACGTGGCCTCGATGGTACTTCTGCGCGGAACTCGAAACAAATTTCTGCTGCAAGGAAGTTTGTTTTTGGACGTGAGACAAGTCTCGAATGTGGGCTTTGAAGCCTGCGATGGCCGATGGGGCTGTCGGTTGCCTGTGTTAAGAATGAGTCGGGGAAGACCGCTGGGCAGAAATGATAGAAGCGGCTGCCTGCAGATGTGCGGCAAGAAGCCGAAGCGCTTGATCTATAAAGAGGAAGCGTGCGGTGATGCTATACAATACAAAACAGGAATTGCTGCGTGCATGTTCATGTCGTTCCATGCAACGGAGATCCGAGATGGGGCCGCGTACGGGTGGTTTATCTGGCATATCGTCGGCATCTTTCGAGGGGTCATATGTATATGTGCGCGGGGGTTGTTGTTGTGGCATGTGGGTAGCGAGAGCTTTGCACGATTTCCCTTCGCTCTTTTGCAGTGTAGAGGTGTGCGGGAGGGATTGCGTGGACGTGACACACCTATTCTTTGATCTCGACGCTCATGACAGCCTTTGCGACCTCAGCGCCTGCGTCAGCACCATCCTTTTCCTTAGGCGCACCGCCAGCAGCAACAGCAAGTGCACCTGCAGCCTTGCGTCCGCCGCCCCACGCGCCAGTAGCAGGAGCAGCGCACTCGCGCTGCTGTGGCGCAGCGGGGGAAGCCGCCTCGAAGCGTTTCTCGCTGCCGCACGTCGAGGCAGCTTCACCAGACGCATTAGCAGGCGCCGGCGACTGCGAGGAAGCGCTCGCAGAGGTCCTGCATTGCGCGCCTGCTGGCGCACCACCGCGCGGGATTTTCGCCCCTGAAGCGGATGCCGTGGGGGATGAGGACGCTGAAGTCTCACTTGGTTGCTGCCTGGCCTTAGGCTCGACCTTTTTCCATGGGTTGGTCGGCGGGTTGAGCTGACCCTGGCTCGGCCTCTTTGCAGCTGCTGCTGCTGAACCATCCTCAGCAGAAACTGAGCCGTCCGTCGTAGGCGTCGACGGTGCATCAGCTCCCGCCTTTGTACTAGCGTCGCCAACAGTCTTCTTCTCCTTCTCCTTCCTCTCCAGCTCACGCTCCCGCTTTCTCTCCCGCTCCTCTTTACGTTCAGCGTCGCGCTGGCGCATGCGCTCTTCGATCTGGCGCTCGCGCTCCGCCGCATCGACAGGTTTGGCGTTCCCGAACGGGTTGACCCCGCCTTTGGACGATGTGCCAGCCGATGTTGGCGAGGTCGCTGCTCCTGCTCCTGCTGCGTCGGCACCTTCGCTGCGCGGCTTCAGCTCGAGCCTCTTACGCTGCGTTGGTGCTGCTGGCCCGCTGCCGTCATCACCTCCTGCTGCTGCAGCGTCGGAGGTAGATGGCTTGCGCGACGCAGACGCTGCAACTGAGCCTTTCCGGCTGGAGCGCCATGTGTCTGCCTCGTCCGCAGGCCCAGGCGCAGCGGGCGTCCTGTCGCCGCTGCTTCCGAGCCCCGCGGCGCCAGCGCCGAAAGCGCTATTCTTGCGCTCGCCGAAGCCAAAACCGCCGCGCTTTTCGGTTGGCGATGTGGGTGCGGCGGCCGGCGAGAATTTGGCGCCAAAGCCCATGCGCTCCAGGCCGGCGTACTTTTCATCCATGTCTGTCGCGAGGGATTCGCGCCTGCTGCCGGCTGGGGGCCGGTCACTGCGTGGCGTCCCAGGCCCACCGCTGCCGAATGCGGTTGACTCAACCGGTTTGCCTGTCCGCCAGTTGCTCGCCTCATCACCTGGACCAGGCTCGGAACTGATCGGCCCAGGCCCGCCGTACCCGCCGGGGCCAGCGGCATCGGCGGCATACCTCGAGCGTCCGAAGCCGCCTGCTGCACGCTCGGGCGTGGGGCCGCCGGACTGAAAGCCGCTGCCGAAGCCGACGCGCCGTCCACCCTCGCCAACCTCCATGCTGTCGAACCCGCTGGGGCCGTCGCCTCCTGCCCCAAAGCGGCTGCCGGTGCCGCCAAAGTTGGATTCGCGACGGCGCAGCCCGATTCCGCCAGGTCCGTCTGCTGCCAGTGGACCAGCGCGGCGCCACTGGCTTGCCTCATCTGCGATGGACGGCGCGAAGCCTGGGCGGTCGGTGCGCGGCGGCTCGGCGACGCTGATGCGGACGGTGCGGCCGCCAAAGCTGCCGCCGTGGCGCTCAAGGGCGCCCTTGAGAGTGTCCACGCTGTCGAACTCGACGTAGCCAAACCCTTTCGGTCGGCCGTCAGGCCCACTGACGAGGCGTGTGCTCGTGACGGTCAGCGGAGCGAAAAAGTCGAGTACGTCACCCTCAGTGACGTCGAAGTTGAGGTTGCCAATGAACGCCGTGAAAGGCGGGCGTGTCGGCAGTGGCACATCGTCGCGTGGCGGGCCGCCGTACGCCCCCGAGCCGGCTGCAAAGGCGGCATCGCGGTCCTTGCGGTCCGGCATCGAGGAGAGGTAATCGCCACCGCCGCGGGCGTAAGAAGACTCGCGCGGCGCGGGTGCGGTCGGCAGGTCGTCCATGTCGTCCGCCCACGACGTCTTTCCTCCGGCTGCAGAAGTCCGAATACGAGGGAAGCAAAATGAGCGAAAAGGAGGTTGAGCATGTGTTGACTAGTGCCTGTTGTCGGCATTTGTTCTTTCTGGAATGCGGGTGCATCATGCTGAAGAGGCATGGACTGGCAGCGCAGATACTCACAGTCACCGAGGAAGTCTGTGAGAGACATCTTGTTCTTTTTGGGAGCTACAAGGGGAGAAAAAGGATTCGGTCCGTGAGCAATGCGACACTATACATAGCTGTGAATGGTCTGCTTCTTCTGATGCGTGTCGGGCTCCGTGACAACACCACGGGGACCACGCGTGCAGGAAGAAGCGACCGGTCTGTGGGATTGGCTCACCCATGATGATCAAATGGAGCGATGGGCGAGCAGTCTGGGTGATTGGTTTCCTGTGAAGTACGGGTGCTTCCTGCGCGGTGTCTGGATGCTTGCCCTCCTTCCTTTTGGTGTGTTCGGAGGGGTTACCTTGGCTGTTGGCAGCAGAAGAAGAGGATGCGGTCTCATTATCGAAGAGAAGATCTCATCCATCTGCCAAAAATTCATTTGGCTGGGAGTGTCAGCAGGCGTGGTTTACAAGGGAATATACTTTTTTCTTTTCCACCTTTCTTTCTTTCCCTCAACTGCAAGCAGTCGCGTCATTAGTATTCGTCGGCAATGCGCGACGTGTCGTCAAATCGACGCGCCGAAACACCCAAGAGACCCTGTATGGAAGTGAAGATGACAGCAGCTGCACTGCATAGGCGAGGTAGCAGTAGAGAAGGAGATTGACGGCCATAGACGCGCACGCACGCACACGCACCCATGACGCGAAGCGAGGAGAGGCGCATGCAGGAAGCCTTGCTCGCATCCTCCTCTGCATCTTGCGCCTTACCGCCACCGCCACCGCCACCGCCACCGCTGCCGCCTTCCTCCTTTGCTGCGCCGGCTTGTGCTCGTGTCGGCGGGATGGACGCTCAACAAGGACGACCGATCCCGCAGCAGCAGGAGCACGCAGCTACGCTTGGCCCAGGAGGACTCATGACGCCTGCTGCGTCTACCCTCGGTTCGGACTCCCACGCGTTTGCTGCCGCCTGCGGCAGCAACAAGGCAGGAGCCACTAGCACTGTGAGCAACGGCGCGCACAAGGCATTCGACCTGATGCAGCTGGACAGCGACGATGGTGTAGTGGCCATGCGCAGCCAAATACCTGCAGTGGCAGAGGAAATACCTGGAATTCTTCGAGACCCGCACAGAACTGCCTTGGCAACAGCAGCCACAACAACAGGAGGGGGTTTGGACTCGCAGTTGCTGCTAGCGGCTGCACGAGCACGAGCACCAGTAGCAGGAACAGCAGCGGTAGCAGAGCAACAACCTTCAACTTTCCAAACGCATTCGCGTGCATCTTCTAACGCGCATACACTTCCAGAGACACAGCCAGTCTCCATTCCCGACAGTCAGGAAGCACTGCAAACAGCGGAGATGGCATCGTCTCCATCACCGCCCCCACCACCGCCGTCCTCGGATTTGTCTTTGTCTTCTGCATCTGTGGCGCCAACGGAATTCCAGGCGCAGGTAGACGAGGCGAAGAGCACGGCGAGCACGATGGCAAGACGCCGGTGCGCTGGACGTGCGCTCACCTCGCCGGCTGCGCAACGACCCGAACGCCAACGACAGCAGAAGCAAGGCATTATCAGTGCGGATAAAAGGGCCCACGATATTCCGGCTGTAGCCGTTGCAGATAACGTCGATGATGAAGATCACCTCAGAAAATTCGAAGAAGACGATACAAGAACTGCGTCACACAACTCAGGCAGCATGGTTTCCCTTGCGCCCGCCTTTGTTACGCGAGCACAGACTTCGTCTTGGCTACCCGCTGTCGACAAGAGCAAATTCACCAAGTCCGCTTTCCCTGCGGCGGCTGGGAGGAGAGGAGATCGAAACACAGCCAGGCGGCGTGCGATGTTGAACAGCGACGATGAAGATGATATGGGGATTGGTGGAGGGGACGAAGGGAAGCGGCAGGTGTTCAAGGACGAGCACATGATGAAGGAGCAACACGATGACGAAGACACGAGGAACAGCAAGGGAGCGGCTGAGGCAAAGGGCAAAGGCAGGGGCAAGGCCGCATCCTCAGCGCGAGCAAATACAGCTCCGAGCATGCGAAGCGCGCCCACCCGCGGTTCCACTGGCCGAGAGCATGTGAATGCAGATACAGAGGCGGCCGTCATCGAGATTGGCATGCTCGACGCTGCCGCTGCTCTTGGCTACGCAGGCTCGGACAGCACCTTCGACGGCTGGGCGCCCTCCAAGAGGCGCGGAAAAGTTAAGGCGAAGGAGAAGGCACAGGCGGAAGGCAAATGGAAAGGAAAAGGCAAGGCGGCCGCTGAAGATGACGAGAATGCTGTTGCTGGTCCTGCAGCTACAGAGAAGGGCAAGGAAACTCCTCTGCAGCGGGCTACTCGTAAAGCCGACGCCACCGCGTTTCCGGGAGAAGAGGAGGACGAAAATGAAGAAGAAGACGACGACGACGACGACCAGCCACACAAACAACAGTCACAACAACAACACCAGCAACTACAGGTTGCAAGAGACACTCAGCTTGCATGCGAACCACCGCCGTGCACTCGCGCTGCTGCCAGCGCCAACGCTAGTGCTGCGAAGAGAAGCAGGACCGCTCCGTTGCTGAATCCAACACTGAGCTTGCGTCGCAATGACAACAAGAAGAGAAGCAAGGGCGAGAGCATGGGTGACGCAAAAGACACAAGGGCAAATCAGGCTGATAAATGTGTTGACGAGAGTGAGGATGAAGAGGAGGAAGAGAAGCTAGATGCCACAAAGGACCCGTCGTATCGTTTAGGGGAGAAGGCTGCAGACACTGGCACGGCGCCTTCAAGGTCGGCTGCTGCGAGTGCGAATGATGATACGCCACGCGCTGCGCGTGCGGGAACGGGGACTGTTGCAGTGGCTGCCGCGGCAGGCACACAACACGTTACGCAGACACAAAAGAAAGCGTCTTTCTACGGTCGATGTGAGTGCCTTCCTACCCTTTGCCACTGCTGCGCTACTTGCGAGCGATCGACCCGCCGACACATCATGCACATATCTTCCTTGCATCTCCACTCGGCTCCAGCTTTGCTCTCAATGCTCTCACCCGGAAGCGCCCGCCGCCCGGGCCTTGGCAAGCGCATCTCGATTGCGCCGCTGCACCCGGACCGCAAGCCACTGCACGAGGTGCAGAAGAAGTTCGTAACCGTTTGCAGGGGCAAGCTTGCCAAGGGTAAAAGCGCCACGACTGGGGCAACCAAAGAGATGTTCAGACGGAAGAAGAAGCACGGCCTGGAAGATGAAACGCCCAGTCAACGCGCAGACCGCAAGCGCCAGGAGGCCGAGGTGGGAGTTTTCGACGAGACGAGCGAGGAGGAGGTCGCGCTCAGCTCGGACGCGAAGTTTGGATCAGAACAAGACGAAAACAATGTTACCGAGCAAAGAGCTTCTATTGCCACTGGAGGGAAACGCAAGAGGGTGTACAGCGATTGCGATACAGATGAAGAGGAGGAGAGGCTGAAAGAGGAGAAAAAGAAGATGTTCATGGAGGTAGACGAAGGGTACGCTTGAACCAACGTCCAGGAAGGCAGGAGGCGCAGAAGAAGTACAAAGTCCGTGATCTTTCCGTCGTCATTGTTGTAACCCCCCTTGGCTATTGTACAGCAAGCTGCACCCATTGCTTGCGGCCAGTTCGACCCTCATCACTCTTCATCCTCGAACGGATTCGCGACATACTCGAGATCAGAATCCGAGCCATCATTTTCGTCAGCGTTCAACGCTGCACCTGCGGCTAGACCTATGCCTGCAGATGCAGCCGCCACTTTCGCCGTGTTGTCGTGGATGGCGATTCTGCCAGCAGGAGCTGACGGGATTGGAGTGGCTGCGCTCGCGTCCTGCACAGCTTCGCCTGTCCGCCCGACTGCATCCCAACCGCTGAGCTTGCCCGTTTCTGTATCGGCACCTGCCCCCGCACCGCTATTGGACCGCACAGGTGTGCGTGCAGCCGCGCGTGCCCCAGTGTTGCCATCCGCACCGTTGTGGCTGCCGCCGCCATACCGCTCGAGGAAAGGCTTGCTCGTGCTGCTGGCGAATGTGCCGCCCAAGTTGCGGGCCACGAGTTGGGGCGCGCCGCCGCCGCCACCATTGCCACTGACAGCGAGGATCTTCGCGAGCTCCTCGTCACCGACAGGCGCTGGGTCGCGATCGTACGCGCCTGCGCTTCCGAGGGCCGGTGAGCGTTGCTGGTTCTGGTTGCCGGTGGCAGGTGATGTGATAGATCCAGAGGTACCGAGGGTCTGCCCGTTTGATAGCTGTTGATGCTGCTGTGCACCTTGCTGTCGACGCTCGGCGAGCGCTGCGTTTGCGCGTGCTTTTAACGACGAGAAAGTGGATGCTGCTCGCGCGATTCCGGCTGTGCACAGCACAACAGAGGCAGAGAGGAAACAGAATAGGTCCAGTCAGAGACTAATCTCACTACGGCATCAAATGAAGAAACTGCAGATCGAAGAAGAGCATCTTACGTACCCTCTGCGAAGCGGTTGATGTCTTCACTCCACTGCTTAGCCTCGGCGTTTCCTGGCAAGACACCTCCTGGCCTGGACATATGACCAGCGGGCCGTTGCTGCTGCTGCTGTGATGATGGTAGTTGCTGCTTCTGCTTCTGCCAATGGTGTTGTTGTTGATAGGTATGATGCTGCTGGTCAAGGTCAGCGAATACTGGCGCCGGGGCGCCTTGCGCAGAATTGCCTCTCCGAACTCTCGGCTGGTAGTTGAGAGTGTTGACGTCGTATGTCCGTTCAGGCTTGGGTTGCTGCTGTTGCTGGTCTTGCTGTGCTCTCCCGAAACCAAATACAGACCCGACACTACCCCCTCCACGTCCTCCACCCGATTCGAATAATTGCTGTTGACTGCGCAAATGCTGCTCCCTTTCCAGCGCCAGCGCCTCCTGCTCCTGTTGCATCAACGCCCTCGCGAGCGCCTCGTCGTTACGCGTGGCCTCCTGCTCATTCGATGCTGCACCCTGTTCGGATCCTGCACCGTCTCTGTCTGTACCTGCACGTGTGCCAGCTGACTGTTGGCCTTGTTCTGCGCTGGAATCGTTCATGCCGAGCAAGATGTTCGCAGTCTGCTCGACGTTATTGCTGTGTGCGCTTAGTATGTCTGAGATGGTGTCCCGGGGAAGATCGGGAAACATCGCAATTAGCGTATCGACGTCCGAACCACCTCCTTGGGCATGCTCAGTGCCGGGTACATCTACGACTGCTGATACTGCTCCTGCCGGTGCATCTGCGGAAGGCGAGTTTGAACGCGCAGACGTTTGCAAAAGAGTTGAAAATGAGTTGCCTTGACCTTGATCCTGGGTGGATTGAGTTCTATTGCGTTCTTCCGCGCTGATATGCCGAATGACGGCAATGTTTGACTTGATCCTTTCCCCCTCGCCGCCAGTGATGGGTAGTTTTGGAACCTTATACTGGGCACCCAAAGTGGAGGCGTTAGCTGCTTCCCTGTCCTGTTTGTCTTTATTGCCGCCGGTCGCTTCTGCAGGACTTGAGTCCGAGTCGTCTCCGATCGTGTACCCTGCTTCGTCCGTGTCTGTCTTGGCTCGGTCGTTCTTTGTATCAGGCCCCTCGCCCAGGGCGTCGCCAAGGGCACTGAGGTCAATTGCGCCGGCGGAAGATCCCTTTTTCTCGTGGGCCGGCATGTCTGGTACAATCTTCTCCGGGAGAGCGATCTATAACAAAGTTCTCAAAGCTCCCCATGGAAAAGCGCTCCGTGAATACAGGCTGAGCGACGCTTGTCTATATCGAGCATTGGCAGAAGTTGGTGCGATAGTAGGGAGAGCTGGACCTCACCTCGAGCAATTTGAGGCGGTGCACACCCGCGTAGAAGTTTGTGTCTGTGGGTCCGTGCGCAGTCACATTGGGCCCGTTGTGAATAAACTAAGGTCACATTAGTAAGTCCATAGAATGAACGCCAGCCACAAGCGGGGTTGATCGCTTGTTCAAACCGTGGAGAATGGTTCCTATATCCGCAGTCAAAGGCGTATCCGATGTAACGAATCCTTTTGTGATGGGTGGATAGCTGAGCAAGAATTCCACCTTACCCAAGTTTCCAGGACGAGCGGGGGGCGCCGTCGAAGATGATGCGTGCGCAGCTGCATGTCATCCTCAACCCGGTTTCGGGAGGCCAGCAGGCCGAGTCGATTCTTAGCTCGGCAGTGGACCCCCTTCTGAAGCGTCAAGAACCCAAAATCGAATACCAGATACGCCGCACAGCAAGGCCGGGGCACGCCTCTGACATCACGTACGACCTCCTCCAGTCTGCTGAACGCACGGATGGCTTGTCTCTTAGGATCGCCTTGCTGGGGGGAGACGGCACGACTCATGAAGTGCTCAACGGAATCAACCGTTTCCACAAAGCAAGATCACAAGAGCTACCTCAGATCGAATTGGCAGTGGTACCTACGGGCACGGCAAACGCACTCTTTGCCGGCTTGTATCCACCGCATGTGCAGCCAGCATCAAACGGTACCACCAGCTGTGACACAGAACACGGCTGGCGCCTGCGGTCGCTCAAAGCCCTCCTGTCATCGTTGTGTCACAGCTTTCCGTCTTCAAGCCCATCAGCAGCAACATCGGTACCACTGACGCTCGCCAAGGCGTCCATTTCCTCAGCAGACGAAACATCCGCGGCGAAAGAGCTCGTCTCGCACCTCGTAACCTCACACGCGTTCCATGCGTCCATCCTGCTCGACTCAGACTCGGCCGACCTGCGCGCCAAGTATCCAGGTGTGGAGCGCTTCAAAGTTGCGGCTGGTATGAACGCCACTCGCTGGACGAATTATCCGCTTGCCTCGGCTATACTGAGTACAGCAGAGACTCGCTCACAGCAATCAGGGACCGTACGACTTTTGCCTTACCAGAAGGACGACCATGGTGGCGAGGTCAGCGTCGAGAAATACGACGCGCGGAGTCGAAGCTGGCGCTCCGAATCACTACAAGAACCAGCCGATCATGTACAGATCGAAGGTCCTTTCTTCTATTTTGCAGCCTTGACAACTGACAGACTCGAGCCGGCTTTTGTACCTGGTCCCTTCTCTGCCGCAAAGTCTACCGCTGCTTTCAGGTGCCCAAGCCAAGACGAGTGGCAAGCCATTCGCTGCGGCCTCTCACGCCCTTCCAATGCTCTAGACGTTGTGATCATACGCCCAGCGCGCGATCCAGCGGTGCAAGCAGCCATCAAGTCGCTCAAGAGCCTGTCTTCAGGCCCGATCGACTGGTCCTCCCCTTCCGAGGCTTTCGACATAAAGCAGCGCTTCGCCGCGATGCGCTTGAGTCCGATAATGGCGGCTATGTATGACGAAGGCAAGCACATTCAGCTGACATATCCTCTCCCAGATGATGCGGCTGCCGAATTGGCGACGGATGGCCAGGGCGAGTATGTTGTCGAATACTATCGAACTGGCGGATACATCTGGTTGGCTGTGAGTGTCCTGCGCTCTCATTCGCTTGCTTTTGTGCACCTCGGTCTGACCTTCAAATCACAAACTACGTGCCATTGGCTGCTTGCTAGGGAAATGAGGGCGAAGGGGAGGAGCGCGCACGTGTAGCTTGTATAGACGGAGCGATCGTCAAGGGCGATCGCACTGAGGTACGTGTCGTGCAGAACTTGACGAAACATGTGCGAGTCTGGCGGTGATGCCAGAAAGGAGCATATATATGAGAAGTTATGCATTAGAGACGAAGTAAGCGCGTTGAATGTTACAACAGTGTTCAACACCCGATCCTACGTGCCGGTTGGTAACGTCACTCTTCCCGCTCTGTTTCCTCTTCATCACTCAAGCCGATATCCTCATCCGAGCCGATATGCTCATCACCGATGATCATCATCAGCCTTTGGAGTTCCTCATCTCTCACCCAGTCCAATCCGCCTTCGAGGATGATGCCGCGGAGCACGCCTTTGACCATCTCACTTTTATCCCGCACCTCTTGCAGCGCATCGCGAAGCTTGCCGATCCGCGATCGCCCTGCGCGCGTAGAGGCGCTGCCGGTGATGCTGGCATTTCCCAGCGATGTCTCGGACGCCAACATCATGTCGCCCGCCGCTGTGCCTGTATTTGACTCAAGCTTCTTTCGCTGCTCCTTCAACTCTCTGGACATGACGCGTAGCCTTTCCAGCAGCAGCGCTAGTTCAACACGGTTTATGAGGGTCTGCTTGTGCATTTCTGCTGTCTGCTCGCGCAAAGAGGCACTCTCGGCATGCCGGTGGAGCAACTGCAGAGATAGTGTGTCTCGTTTGCTGATGAGGGAACGCACATTTTGCCCGCTGACCATGCTGCCGCTGGGGCCGTCATCGGAATTCGCTGCTGTAGCGGTGAGGCCGCCTTTGTCCAGGATCGCTTCAGCTGGGTTCGTTGATGCTGCATCATCGTTCAAGGGGCGCTTCGCAGCTCGAATATTCGCTAAGCGGCTGACATCACTCGCTTTGCGTCGATCGTGCAGTGGTCGGTTGGCTGTCTCTAGCGGACTTGGCAGCGTGTGTTCCTCGAAGCTGGTGCTTGACATGGTCGCTACTACGGCATGCTGATCGTCAGCGCTGTTGAAACGTAGGAAGTCAGGCGCAGAACGATGAGACGCCGTCCCCGCAGGGTCGTTCGATGCCAATGGGCTCACTGTGTCAGAATCGCTTTCTTTACTGCTTCCATATCGAGTGCGCGTTCCAAGCGCGTCTTTGCCTGCTTGAGCTGCTCATCTAGCTCCTTCACCCTGGCAGCATCGCGCGCACTATCTTCCGCTTGCACCGTTTTGCTTGTAGCTTCATTTGTGGAAAAATACTTTCGTTCCAACTCTCTGCCACGGGGACTCTGCCAAAACTCCACTTCGAGCCTTGCAGCAGCGATGTGCTCACGCCTGATAGTTAGCTCGTCTAGCAATGCGCGAGTAAGTGGATCGAGGAGGTCATGCTGCACACCTGTCGACGATGTAGAGGTGGATGCGATACCGAAGGACGACGGGTTGCCCAAGGTGGACAGCAGGGCTTCGAGCGCCATTGTGATGGATCTGTTACTGGTTTCGATAGGATTCAGCTGGCTCCACTCCGTGCACAAGCTCTTACATTGTATGCTTTGAAAATAGACGACCCTTTGCGCAAGAAGCCATCTGCAACCGCAGCTGCAATATCTGTGGTCTTCCATGACGACCAGAAAGTCTATGTTGGATTCAAAGAGGTGTTTCTCCAGTACAGAGCCTGAACGCGTCGCGTTAGCGGTTCTTTCATTCTTTTTTGGGCTTTATATATTTCTTTTTTTCGCTGTCAGGGGTTCCGAGGCTGCTACGTGCACCCCATCAGCCGATGGGCGAGTTGACGACGCCCACGTCCGTTCGTTCGCCTCATCCTTTACCGTCAGGAATGGGTGTGTTTTGCGAATGAAATGCAACCCAGCGCAATGCCCAATCGTGCGGATGCCCCACACATCCGCGCGGGTGCGAGTACGCGTTTGATTCATCTTGGAAATTGGGGCTCGGACACGTCTGTTCTGCATTATACCAAGGTCATGAGCCTGACGCGAATGACGCCTACTACTGGTTATTTCTCCTTGCGCCTCGCAGTCTGCTGAGCTTGGGCAATTAGGCACAACTTGTTAATATGACCCTCTGGGCGCCCGGTGCTGTGGTGCTGGTCACACCGACCGACGCCATTTCTGAATCTTCGGCACGCCTTCTGGTTATGCTCCCGTTTACTTTGTTTGACCGATGCAAAATATAAATGTTCCCGCCCCACGTGGAACATCTTTTTACGGTTCTTCGCTTCCTCCCCTTGAGCTGGTCTCCAATCATATCTCATCTTTTCAAGAATTTTCAAATCTAGAGTCGTTTCTCGTTGGTTGAGAAGGAAACTCCACACAGGATTTGATATCCATTGTCCATGCTGTCCACACCATCAATTTCGAAGTATGCTGTCCTCGTTCGCCGTATGCTTCCTCACATACGGCACCCTCGAGCATGTTGCAGTTCTGCTTGCGGTGGTAAACTGATGCACGTTTGCTGCCCTCAAGCGTGGTCGATAAGAAGCGACGCCGAAGCAGACGCACGACTGGGACGGTGGGTATGCTGCGCTGATTACTTGTCTGGTACCGGCTCTTCCTCAGGCGGTGCGTTCGGCAATAGCGACGGAATCAGCCAAGGGAGCAACGGCTCGGACTCGGACTCTGGCTCTGGCTCTAGCACTGACTCTGATGACGGCGCTGACACAGGACCAGACACGGGTACAGACGTAGAGTCCGGGTCCGGCTTTGGTGACGGCACTGATTGAACATCCAGATCTCCTCACACCAGCCCTGGCACTGATGTTTCGACCATTGGTGTCCCTTCTGCTACTGATGTCTGCCCTTCGGGTCTCGCCGTTGGCGAATGCAGATCAGGATCTGAAACGGGGTCTGGATATGGGTCTGTTAATGGATCTGGTTCCCTCTGTTCTGCTTTTGGAAGCGTCCCCATTTCTTGCGCAGGAACGGCCCCCGATTCGACCTAATGCCGATGGCTACCTACCATTTCAGCCGTACGGTGAACAGCTCTGGATTGAAAACAAATGGTAAATTGAGCACATGCATCTCAGCGGAGGTATTTGCCGTGGGAGCAGAACGTGCTGGGCTTGTTTTGCCTGAGCAGCTCCGTTGCAAGTAGCAGGATTCCGAGGTACGGAGCAACCGCTCTGTCCTTGGATTCGTTTCCCTCACAGGAATCCATTCGATCATGCTTCAATCTTGGTGTCCTTCAGAAGGGCACCACCTAAGGTAATGTGATAATCGAGACATTGTGGATTTAGCGCGGCGAAGCTTTTGTCGTGGCCTGTTGTGAGAGAATAATTGACGAGTGCTGACGCGGAAAGCCAGGATCGCCTCCGCCCCATGCAAGGAATTTTCGCTGAAGTGTGAACCAAAGTGAGCACTCGTTATTTGGCCAAGCCATGCCGCAGGTAGGGTTCCGAGGCGGCCGCTTAGAAACTCTGAGCTCGAACCCAAAGGTCATGAATTCATATTATCCTATCAATACATAAAGAGCCAATGGGTAGCAACATTTCCTGTCAGTCGGAAAAGGGACGTGTGCAGCCGCCAACTAGGGCGTCCAGATAGGCTCGCCTGTTGTAAACAAATACCAGATATCCTCCAGAAGGGGTATCGACCAATGAGGCTGAGCTGTTTCCAGTCCCATTCAACCCAAGATTTGCTTTTGTGTCGCCTGCACAGGGCTAGTTGCTGACAGCACCAGCCTTCGTGGATTCTGGCGGAGCCTTCGCGCCCAATTGCAGTGTCCATGCTGGTGGCCAAGGCGAGTGATCGTCGACTGTATCTTCATGTAGTTCGCGGACCGTCTGGCTCTTGTGCCGTTTAGCGAGATTCTCCCGATTGTGGGGTTGGCCGAGCAGAAACGACAGCTGTCTCGAAGCACTCTTCCGGCCGAATGAAGCGGCGTGCGGGCTTTTGCTTAGCTCATTCCGACTGCTGGCAGCGCCTCCAAATTATGCCTCCGAGTTGAACAGGCCATGATCCCGTGAGCCACTGCCGTTGGTTGTGTGAGAGCGAAGTACGATGGCCCGATGGCTGTTCAACATTGACACAAGTGAATTGACGTGGAGTTTTGCAAGTGGAAGATCGAAAATCAGGCGCAGATACGTTGCGCTCGCGAGGACAAAGATCAGGTCAATGATGGCGAGCGGTGGTGGTGAGCAGGCCAGTAAACAGGGTGGCTTTGCTTAGCTCGGTGATTATGTTCTCAGGTTGCTTGAAGCCCGTTCGACTCTTGTGGCGCGTCCAGATCAGTCTGATCATGAGAACAGTGTCGGCAGCAGCAGCAAGGAGCAGCTAAATGATAACAATGAGGCAGATTCGTCGAAATTCGCTGAATACCTTCACAATGAACACATCCTTTCGCAGAGGATGGTCAGCATCCTATGGCTTTTGACAGCGTTCGAATGTACCATGAGAAGCAAAGCTGGCATAAGAAGCCAATACCGGAAGTTATCGCCGAATCTGCCGCGAAGGGGACATCGGTTTTGTGCGAGTAGGGAATACCACCAAAATGGGTGCTGCTAAAATTCGGTAGGCGATCATGAACATCTGACGTTCCGAAAAAGCAAATCAACGTGGGCGTCACCGGGGTAGGAATACGTTATATGCAAATCGTACACGGTAATCGTCACGTCCCAAATCTTCAGCACAAAGTTGAAGAACTTGAGCTCCCTCCCATTATCCTTGCTCTAGGTGTAGCACAGGGAGTACTGGATGCAGTTTTCCATACCGAGGGGCATATTTCACATCACTCCGATGAGGATGCATTCCAACGTCAAGTCGAGCTCGCCCACCTTGTTCAGTCGAGCTGCATTGAGAGGGATACGTAGGACGAGCGCTCTCATATTTTGAGTCAGATCTGACGTTGGGGGAAAGAAAGAGGAAAGCAAGGTTGAGACGTCTTACATCTTTTCCGCATTGTCAGGGATATAACGCTAGATCAGCGGCGATAATAGACTCCAGTCTGCGAAGGCGAAAAGGTGACGTGAAATCAGCTTAGTCGATTGCAACCCTTAATTGCCAAGGCGTCGGCGATAAAGTATCCATCGCCAAGACGCTATGGCTCTGAGCTGGGAAGAGCATTGTTTAAGTTTGCCACCGGACCGATGAGAAGAATGTGTCAGATGATGCTAGTGAAGATTGCGGATGCAGTGGCATTGATGCTTGTTCACTTGCCTGTGATAGGCGCACGTATGGCCACTTGTCCAACTCTTTTGAAGGTACGACTCAGCTGCATGCAGTTGAAAGGACGTTGGCCAGAACTCGGTTTCGCCGGGCTTTGCAAGGCATTGCATGCTTGCGGCCATCCGTTCCCATGAGCTGCGCCAAGCCCGCTAGCGGCACCCAAATACCCAAACCAGCTTCTTGGGTGCACTGTGCATCGGCGGTCCTGGGAGGCACTAAATAGCAACCTGCAACATTTTGATGGTACCTAAATCGATGCCTGAGGGAAGTTGATGAAAGAGCTCAGAAGTGGCAGAGACATTAGGAAACGGAAGGTTGACTACATTCTATACTTTTCTGTTGAAGGCGGGAGGGATGACCTTGTTATACAGGCGTGCCTCTTGCCGCAGTTCAAGTGCCTACTGGAGCACTGATTCTTTCTTTCTGAGAAGCGACTTATGCAGGGACCTGTGCACGGCCATCCGACCAAATGCGCCCTACCTGTTGCATGAGTAATCTGCGGCGCGTATATCTGTTTGCATGCCGATGTAACCGAGCTGATAGCTCGTACGCTATGTTCGGCAGGTCAGCGTAAAATAGGGGCAGTGAGTGAATCGCATTAAATTGCCCTATTTCTCTTCTCATGAAGTGTAAGGGGGCGGCGGGGAATCCTCCCGACCGTCATCATGCACCAAGCACTGCGAAACGCCGAACGGCGGCCTCTCTGTAGCTATGTTCCGCACCTCGATGGACGCCACGGCTCTGAGGTGGCGGTAATTCATCGCCTCGTTCTCCGTCTTGCCATGCAGCTTCGTCGACGCGGACAGATACGTTCGAACGCTGATCGTCCCGTGCTGACTCCGGTACGTCGGCATCGCGTCTGTCGGCAAAGTGATCCACGCTTTGACAAACGCCTTGTCGCCAACACGGGTGATGGAGAGCCTGGACCCGCGTCTTCAGTGTATGGCGCGCTCCAGCCGTACCCTGGCAAATCGAAAGCGCCAGCGACCTTGGTATGTATGGCTCTGCCGCAATTCTGCACTCGCAGGTGTCAGTCGTTCCAGCGAATGGACTGGCGATAGACGTACATCGGGTGTCTCCGTTGCACATGATCGCCGCCTCGTTCCTTAGGGACACAAGCGAAGAGAGTCGTACGAGGGTAGCACTCCTCCTTCTCCGACTCTGCACCTGCAACATAGGAGCTTCCTTCGATTTGAGCGTTTGGTAGCACCGGCTGACATATGGAGATAGAAGGCTGTGATCAGCAAACGAGCGGCGCTTGAACGGAGCTAGCCTTTCGCATTCACATGAAGTTCTTTCCAATGAAAGACATCTGATGCAAAGCCAGGTGGGGCACGAGCGATGTATTCTGCGGTAGTCGTTAACACCCGACCATGTCAGTTTGCCTGGACTTGACCTAACGGAACCTTGTACCATTCACTTACCGAACACTACCGGAAAGTCGATCCCTGGAACAGCCAGCATCGCATGCGTATGTAGCATGTAGCACCATCTCGACGCTCCCCCAATGCTGTTCATTACTTGCGCTCCTGCATTTACCACCAAACAGTCCCCAACGGGCACCCGCTTTCTTAGGTACCACAACAACAAGATTTACCGCCTCCCGGTTCCAACCTGCTAGTGATGAAGCGAGGGGGACCCTTGGCGCTTGCATGAAGAAGGTGGGGTAAATCATTTGCGCACTACCAAGCGGCGCGTTTTGTGCTGAGGCGATGTTGAGGTTGTCGATGATATACTTGATGATTCGCTCCTCCGAGTACATGTTCGCGGTAATCTTGATCGAGTATTCGCTGAATGAAGTGCCATCTTATTTAGTACATGTGTGGATGCCACAAACGCAGCGCAATCTCACATGTATGTTGGAAGATTGGGCACTAGTTCCATGTCGCCGAACCTCTCCGGGAATGTAAACTCAAATGGAACGTCGACAAACCCCGTCTCGTCCACGGGATCCTTCGGGCCATCTCTTGCGTAGTCGAACGCGAGCGCCTCGCCAAGGACCCATGCCCTGCTCTCTTACTGCGTTCCTATTATTCCCTCTGCAGTGCGACATGGAGACCGGTGATCTACATGCGTGCGCCGTCAGAGTAGCTCCCAGCGGTGGAAGAGCGGACGAGCTCGGTCTGGCAGAGCAGTGTGACGCGCACATCCTGGTAGCCACCAGGGCACCCGAGCGTGCCGGCAGGAGAGCGAATCGAACCGTGCAAAATGGAACCAGGTCGGAAGATGATGCTTCGAATCGATGCGACGCTTGAAGGCGTCCGCGAGAGATTTGATGGCATGTTGTCGACTGTCGTGATTGTCGGCTCAGCAGCCGAGGATTCAGACGCAGGTTGTTGGCCCCTAAGGTCCGAGACAACCTGGCGAAGCGGCATCTTTGCTCTGCTTCTGTTGGCACGCTTGAGCTGTACACCCCTTTGCCCAGTCGAATACAATATGCTTGCTGGTCTGAAGGGAATACAGAGAGATGTGAGTCGGAAAGACAGGCAAGTGCATAAGTCAGAGTTCCAGACGAGGCAAATGTGTCAGGTTACAAGAACAGAAGCAGATAGATGAGTTGCGACTGTCGGCGCTCACAGTAGATATCCATATAGGTGCAGAGGCCCTCTACGAAGGCAGAGATAATGGGTAGATTGATAGAAGCCCGAGGAGCATGCACGTGTGTATAACATATCTGAGCATTAGTGACAAGATGAGGGGAGACGCTAGTGAATGGCCGATGGTTGGGCCTATGCTTCCGCCCAGTAGAATATGCGTGGTCACGTGATTATCTTGGTCCTTTCCCGCAATGCCCTCACCTTTGCAAGTTATAGTAGATGCTCGCCGAAGCAATCGTCCGGTGCCGTCGGCCAGCGCGTACCCAGGGTCACGCACCTGCTTGGCAATGAAGGGATCCTCCACGCGGAGCAGATTCCTTCCCAGCGACTCCGCCCGCCAGCTTGCCTTCCTGAACATTGTCTGGACGGGGAAGCGCATGAGCTGCTGCTGCCGATCGAAATGGTCATACCAACGACAGTGCCGCACAGCGCGCCGGTTCATGCCAGCATCGCGGAACAGGTTTCTTCTATGCTACGGTGAGAGAGCAATCGCGGGATGCGTGTGTGTGGGCCTTGGCAGGCGTGCGGACCACCTGAGCAAAGAACGGGACCGCAGGTTGCGCCCCAGCTACCTCCGAGTGCGTGGGTTTCAACGCATGCATGGCCACGTCAAGCAGACGAGGCCAGCCGACTTCCTGCAACATTTTCATGAATCACGGATCCGCTATGCAGACCCGCAACCCATTTTCAATTTCTTGACACGCACGGATTTCAGGCAGAGGAGGGCGCGAGTGTGCAGCTTGCGGGCACAAATAGGCAGCGACAACCTTGCTCTTCAACTCCACCACGTAATCGGAAGTCAACACCGCAGGCGGACAATAGGGTTCGCACCAAAGAGCGTGCAACGCGGCGGCCGCGGCGTGCGCTGAGCGGGAATCGACCGCACCAGTGGCGATGAACTTCGATGCCCGGTTTACCAGGACCAGGAAGATGAAAGTCCTTACGGAAGCTGCGTCCGTAGGGCCAAAGTACCCGTGGTGTACGTGCACGTGCTGACTTACACCCGCTGGCTCGCGACTTCCCGTCGCTGCTCGCAGTGGCACCACCCTGCGGGAGGCTTGATACTCTTTAGACCAGCGCGTCAAGTCAGCCGTCTTCGCCGGCAAGGATGGGAGCCAGCCGGCGTGCTGGGGAGTGAGGACAAGGCGTCCTCACTGTGCGTGGGCAGTGGGCCATTGCATGAATTGCAGGATGCGCTCGATCCCAGAGTCGGGGATACTCACCACCAGTCTAGCATCCGTGTGCTCGCCCATCCTCCCTCGGGAATTCAGCACATTAGAGCAATTCATTCTTGAGGTGGAACTGTTGTAACGCGTGGCATAGCATGTCAGCGCGAGGGAAGGTCGCAGCGACAGCCGCTCGCATGATCCCCCACGCCGATTTCAAATCGTAATTCCAGTGCGCGCCTTGCAGTGACCGAGAGTGCAGGAGAGTGCTGCCTGAAAGATATTGTGGGCGGAACACCTGCCCGCTACCTCCGCTTCTGTCCTCATTTTCGGATGCGAAGCTCTCGGATACTCCGAGCTTGCTTGGAGCACTTTGATCACTTCTGTGTTTGTCTTTACGTGTGTGAATGTACACTCACTTCGATCAGCTGAAAGTTGTCCACATGGGAGCAAGCAGCAGGTCTTGTTGACGTTTGACACTCGTCATCTTTCTTCTTCTGGACTCTTCTATGTCCATCCAGGTCCTCCCGAGGGGCACCCTCCTGCAGGACTGCAATTATTGCTCCAGACATGGCAGCCGCACTGGGTCACTTGTCTGGAGGCGTTTTTGGGGAACAGGCCACGCCACATACTATGTACATACGAAGGTGGCCTCTCCGGGGGGAGGGGGGTTCCAGTTGCCTGTTCAGCTCTATGCACCCTTGTCATGGAGGCGTAGATGCGATGGAGGAGAGAAGATTTGCAGACTTTGCCTGGCCCATTCTCTAACCCAACATGCACTGTGTACCTACCAGACTATGAACATGAAGGGTGGGCGAACTCAGCAATTGTATCACGATCATGATCTCAGTCAGGATCGCGCCTCTTGAGCGCTTGAAGCGCCGTCAGCCTGATGCCGATGCTCCCGGGCTTTGGAATTGTGCGGACTGCAATATGATAGGATATGGACAAAACGTCAGAGCAGGTCTGCCACTGGGCACCCTTCTATGTGTGAATTCAGAGACAGCCGAAAACCTTTGTATGTGCACCATACATACTGGCATGTGACAAGATAGGGATGAATGAGCGCTGGATACCAAAACGGAGAAAAGAGAGCGGTGATGGGTGGGTGCGCATCGAAGAAGCATGAACTTTGACTCCACTTGTGGGTTTGTTTGTCCACATCATTCTTGCATGAGTGTCTTGGAATCTCCGAATTTTCGCGGGCTGAGCTCAGAGCTCCGCATTAGATAGGGAGGACACCAAGGAGCGCGCGGTGTTCCCTTACTGCGTTCTATCATCGTGCCGAGGGGACCATACCGGCCCCAAGGGCGAGAATGTACCATGGCATATACTTAAATAGACCCTTCCTTCCGCTGCTGCCTTCGCCTTTCCCTTCTTTCCTCAGGTTGATCCCCACCCACATCGGCCTCCAAACGCACGTTTCCTCACGACAGACTCGCTGGTCGAGTCGTCCTTCCTCCTTCCGACCACAAGAAGCAAGCAAGCGTGCACACTCTTTGTCCACCCACCTTTCGCTTCTACCATCTCCGCTACTCGTTCCCCCACCGGACACTGTCCTACTAACTAGCCTACTCTACGCTCGCAATGAAGCTCTCCCTCACCACCACCATTGCCATGGCGCTCATTGGTGCCTCGGCCACGTCGTTGGCCGCGCCCGTGCCGGTGCCCGAGCGCATCAGTCGCCGCGCACCGGGCCGCCTGAGTGGTGCTGGCTCTCCGAGCGCTAAGTCTGATTTGAGCCCGGGCCGCCTGAGTGGTGCTGGCTCTCTGAGCGCTAAGTCTGATTTGAGCCCGGGCCGCCTGAGTGGTGCTGGCTCTCTGAGC